GTTAGAAAATTAATTGATGTTGATGATGCTGATAATGTTGTGTTGAAAGATAAAATGTTCAAAATTCCCACTTTTTGTGAGTTTAATTTGTGTACTCTTACACCATTCCAAGACTAATGAGAATTGATGTCCCAATTAAGATAGCAATAATGTCAAAGTCATTTCTCTTATGCATCTATCTTCATGAAGGAAACATTACTGCAAAATTCATGCAATGTCAATGAGAATAAGAATGAAATGAAGCCCAAACCCAAGGAAACAGGGCTGTATTAGCAATGAGTTTCAGAAAAAAAGTTTTTAAATTAGGAAAAGATGAAGCTTGTAAATGAAAGTTATTTTGGAAGTTTGTTGGTTGAAAACCTAAACATTGCAGAATCTGGGATCCATCAAGCTCTTACGTAACAGCCTGCATCCATCTTTTTTTCCCTATGGTCAGAGGTAACAGCAATTTGAGCTAGTGTATATTTCTCTAAAAAGCTTTAACCTTTCGTGGAGAGATCTGAGAACTAAATCAGCTGTGTGGAATTGTAATAATATATTATTCATTTATCAGAAAGCTAGGAAGCAAATTTTTGAACTTTGAAGTACACTGACATTTCAAAGGATGAAGCTGATAACAACCAGAAACTGAATAAAAGATAATCCTAGGAATTCCATACATCGATACATGACCACTGCTTATCAGGGGCTGTAAACACCTGAAGCTGGAATTCGTGGAAATCACTCAAACACCTTGTGTGATTATCAGAAGCAGACGAAGCCAGATTATTGAGAACTCCTCATTCCTGAAATTAGTTTAATTCTTATTGGATAGACTCTAGAGATATTGTCTAAGATCATTTGAGGCCCTTAGACAGGGATTAGGCCATTTTATCAATTTGTATATGATTTTAATCATTTCATTGAAAACATTTTGACTTTGAATTAATTTTTAGTTTAATTTTGGAGGAGGACAAGTCTGAGAAAATCAAATCAGAAATATTTTATATGCATTGCTAAAGAAACAAGGGCACCCTTTCCTTACGATTCAGCCTGCACTTCAAAAAAAAATGTAAGGACAAGGTAAAAAATTTCCTGCATTCTTTTAAACCTGGGGATCGTTAAATTTTAGTGTGGGAGACATGTGCATTGTGTTGTATTTGTTTTTAGTTGTATGTACTCAATGTCTGTAGTAAAAATAATGCTTTCTGTCAAACCAGACATATTTCAAAATGCAGCCATAGGGAATTTAATCATCTGTCAAAAAATCAATTGCTTAACTTCATTGCTTGATGTAATGGCTGTGTTTAAAACAGCTCTGACATTAATAGAGATGAGTGCAAGCACACCAGGTTTTTGGATGATCCCTATAGTTTAAGTGCAGATTTTGGTTCATTCAGGTATCTTATCATGGTATGTTTTGAGTCAATACACAAAATGTAAGATGGTAGTATGACCTGGTGTATCAACATGACACCAGATTATCTGTTTTCACCCCCTATCATTATCTACAATCAGAAGAAACTGTGATACTCCAGAACCATCAGTAAATTGCAGTAGCAGGAATAATTGTCATTGTTTAATAAATTATTTTATTGAATGACAGTGCTTAAAAGTTAAGAGATAAAAAAAAAAGCAAAATTTAATCCTTTGAAAACAAGATGTACGTTTTTGAAACACTGATGCTACTGTAGGACAGCATGTGGTGAGGTTGAACTTTCTCAAATGCAAGTCAAACTCCAAGTTCAAGGTCAAAATTGTTGGTATCCAAAGGAAGGTCTTGTCATAAGGGATACACCTGCGAAATGTGGAAGCCCTAGTGCTAACTGTTCCAAAGTTATGGCCAAGATAAGAGTTTTTTAAAAGTAGGACAAACTCTGAAGTCAAGGTCAAAAGGTCAAAAATATTTATATCCATTGAAAGGTCTTGTCACAATGAATACACCTGTCAAGTATGAAATCCCTAGCACCAACTTTTCAAAAGTTATGCCCAAGGTTAAAAGTTTGGTAATTTTGGATAAATATGGGTCAAACTCCAAGGTCAAGATGTCAAATTAGTTGGTTTCCAAAGAAAGATCTTCTCACAAGGAATACCCAGTGAAATATAAAAGCCATAGACCCACTCACTCAAAAGTTATGGCAAGGTTAAATTTTTTGCAGACAAAAAGATTAACAGACAAACAGACAGACAGATGAATGGACAGGGCAAAAATTATATACCCCTAAATCTACAATTACAAGGGCATAAAAATAGATATAAAAACTGTAAAAGAGTGATACAGTGTTATCTGTGTTCTGATCAGACACTGGATAATTCCCAACCAGCAGCAGTCAGCCATATGTTACATTTGGAGGGGGTCTAATTATGTAAGAACCAATTAGCTTCTGGACAGATACAGACAGAGGGGGGTATAGACATTACCAGACACCTCACCACATACATACAACTGACACTGGGGCTCAGGTCACATTCCATAGGTTTCTTTGAAAATATCTCAACTCACACTTTTGAGTCTTTTAGCAGTGATTATATCTAGTGGATCAAAACCTCTGACTTACTGGTAGCCTGTGAAAACTTTAACAACTTCATACTAATACACTTAAAGTATTAGCAAGAGCATTCTTTAACCCAAAGCATCCAGTTCAACTATCTCTGATTTAGGCTTTTCTTATATTATGATAGCTCTTCTTCTAATGATAAAATTTGTGTTTTTGGGAACAAACTATTTTAACAGAACAAGTGTGTTTGATTAAAATATTGAGGAATTGCTGGAACTGAGGTGTGAAAAATATTTTCCCACATGACATAGTAAATAAGCTCTTTTATACAGAAAAAAAACCCTAACACACAGCATAATTTAGCAAGTGGCTGAGAGAAAACCAGAGATTTAATCTTACAGACTTAGTGGAAAAAGTAGATGTCTTAGGAGGAATTTAATTTAGTCTGAAGACAGTCTCCCATTGGAGCAAAGTCACTATGTCATTCAGATCTATCAGTTTTGACACCATTATTAGTCTCATAGGATCCAAGCCTCAGTTTCCTGTAGGTACTGTAACTACTGTTAATATCTTCTGTGACTTAGGCTCTGACAGTGATGGATTTTTTCCTGTCCACCTATCATGTTACAGTGTACTCATATATACAGCTTCTAGAGGATTTGTTTGTAAAAATTCAATTTATTAGATCTATTTAGAGGAACTCAATGTTTATTTTAATAATTCAAAATTAATGTGACAATAAATAAATTATTATTGGTTGAGACTCTGATATGAAGGATTGATGAGGGTTGTAAGGAAGTATAATCGTTCTCAAATAGTCAAATAAAGTGGAAATTAAAAGTCATCAGAGTAACGTATTTATTCATGTCACTTATCGATAAACTAGCGAAATATAATTATAGATTGTTACATGTGGGGAAGTACCATTGATCTAACAGTTACTCTCAGATCTGAAAGTATGCATCAAGCACTGTGAAACATACCAGTCAAGTAGTATTTTGAAAATCATTGTCTAACTACATGCATGTTTTTTTTTTTTTTTTTTTTTTTTTTTTGTAAAGTTATTTGTAAATGAATAGCTGTAGTATATACAATGAATCTTAAAGATGCATACTGTTTTTTAAAGTGTGGTTTACCAAGAGTTACAAAGAAATATAATTACTTAAGGAGGAAATGGTTTTTGTTAAACCAACTTTTTAAAAGAGGCTTCAAGAACAAAAACCCAGAATTGATTTGCACTGTGGAATCAATTACAGAACAGGAATTCCTGCGGTGCACGCACAAGTCTGTATATTTAACAGTAATTGATGCAGCAAAGGGTTGATGACCTACTAACTCTCTCCTGCTGGCTATGGTGCTGCTATTGAGAGGCTGCCACACTTCATACCCTGTTTACTGGTATTGAAAGGCTGCCGGCAGTTACTTCAGGTGGCTATAGTGTTGCTATTGAGAGGTTACCCTCAGTAAGGCACACTTCTACTTCTGCTGGCTATAGTGCTACTATTGAGAGACTCCAGGTAGTATGGCACACTGTGTACCTCTGGTAGCTAGTGCTGCTATTGAGAGGTTGTTAACAGTAAGGCACATTTCCTATCTCTTCTGACTAGCTCTGCTATTGAAAAGTTGTTAGCAGTAAAACACACTTCATAACTCTGCTGGCTAGCTCTGCTATTGAGAGGTTGTTTCATAACTCTGCTGGCTAGTGCTGCTATTGAGAGACTGTCAGCAGTAAGGCACACTTCATACCTCTGCTGGCTAGTGCTGCTATTAAGAGGCTGCCTTGGCTAGTGTTGCTATTAAGAGGCTGCACGCAGTAAAGCACATTTTGTACCTCTGCTGGCTATAGTGCTGCAATTAAGAGGCTGCCCACAGTAAGGCACATTTCTACCTCTGTTGGCTTGTGCTGCTGTTGAGAGACTTCCACCTCTGCCAGTAAGGAGTTAGAGTGTTCACTCTGATACTTTCATTTGTCATCAGTTGCAATTTTTCTCGTGTGAACTTTACAATTAAAACACTTGAAACATTTACACTTCCATACGAGATAGTCTCCATTATTTATGCAAGAATTGATGAGGAAGTCAAATAGTTACAATGTCAGTCACTGAAAACAGAGAAGGCAAAGAGATCTATTCATTTTACATTGAAGAAAGCTTTTATGATAAGAAAAGGTGATATCTTCACAACAAATATAAATGGGGAAACAGTATGACGTGAAAGTCTTGTGTCATACAGAATTAATATGAGTTTTATCTGTATTAAACTAGCCATGAGGAAATGCATGAGAATACACATGTAATAGTAAGATATGGATGTTTTTGACATTATACATTTACAGCTTTTGACAAATGAAGAACTGTCATTATCATACATGAATTCTCCATCTGTTTGATAATATTTACCAGTATCAGCAGTGTAAAACATGATATGAAATTTACAGAAATAGAATTTTCTTGATTTATATTAAGGGTAAGATTCCTTTTCGATTATACCAGTTTCACTTACAGATAACTGTTTTCCTTGCAGTTTTGTCGGCCAGTTGGATGGACCCTTTCAGCACAGAGACAACCCCCGGAATTCTTTGTGGCAGTTCTGACGGACATTGATGCAGACCGCCACTATCTGTCCGTCCTGACGTTCAGCGAGAGTATCGCCGTCTCCCCCACAAAGTCAGACGATGGGGACACGGAGGAGGACTCGGCCCTCAATATACATTCCCTCATGTACTCCCCCAAATGTCTTGTTCTGGTCTCACGGCTGGACTACTTTGAAACATTTAAGGTTTGATATATTGTTGCTATTATTTAAAAAAATCCTATTTTCCTGATAGATCTAAATAGAATTGGGTTTCTGAAAAAATAAAGAATAATGAAAACCTGACTCCGGGGCCATAAAACTTAGATGAACTCACTTTGGATCTCAGTCTCACTTTTACCTAAGAAATTAGTAATGGGAAAGTGAGTTTGAGGTCGAAAATGAGCTCCTTTTAGTTTTTTGGCCCAAGGGCCTGCACTTATAAGCTAAGTTGACTTGAAATGTGATCAATAAATTTTGAGTTTTGAATTGTTTTGTAGAATTGTCTGGGCATTATCTATACTGCATATGTGGACAAATTAGATGTACAGCTAGAGGTGTTGGTGGGAAACATACTCGGCTGTGTACAGGTACCTCCGCCAGGTAAATATCTAGTACCTAAACATACAAAAACCCAAATGAAGGAATTCGCAAGGTTTTTATTATTAATAATTGGTAGACAAAGCAAATTGTCATGTACACAAATGTTCACTGATTAGGATGATCAGATTCATCCTTGAGAAAAAGTTCTGTTTTAACTCTGGTGTTTTTTGTTGACAGGTGGTCCTCAGATTCGATTTTCGATTGGTGCGGGGGACAGGCAGGCCCTCCAGCCCCCTGTCAGTGCCACGGTCCCCTCATCACGGAATGTCACAGCGCTACTGTTCCAACAACTAGGTCAGTTTTATAATGTCACAGTGCTACTATTCCAACAAATAGGTCAGTTCTCTAATGTCACAGCACTACTATTCCAACAAATAGGTCAGTTCTATAATGTCACAGGGCTACTATTCTAACAACTAGGTCAGCTTTATAATGTCACAGCACTACTATTCTAACAACTAGGTCAGTTTTATAATGTCACGGTGCTACTATTCCAACAACTAGGTCAGTTCTATAATGTCACAGTGCTACTATTCCAACAACTAGGTCAGTTTTATAATGTCACAGGGCTACTATTCCAACAACTAGGTCAGTTTTATAATGTCACAGGGCTACTATTCCAACAACTAGGTCAGTTTTATAATGTCACAGGGCTACTATTCCAACAACTAGGTCAGTTTTATAATGTCACAGCCAACCATTTCAACAACTAGGTCAGTTTTATGTCAATGTCAGGAACTGTTTAAAAATTTTAGAAATTAAAATAGAAAGAAATCCTACACTTCAGGATTAATTATGGGCATATATTTTGATAATATCATGAAAAATTTATTTTAATTTTTGACGTGTTGAAGTATTATAGGATTTACCAGTAGTTCAAGTATGAACTCGGGCACTATTCCCTGCTATCAATCTCCAAGAAATAAAACAAACAAATCTTCCTATCGTTCCAGGAATACAGAATGTTCTGACATTGTTTTGTGCTGCTCTAACCGATCACAAGATTTTGTTCCATTCTCAAAGTCATTCACGGCTGACGGACGCCTGCCAGGCCATCAACATTCTACAGTACCCTCTCAGATACAGGTAATAACAGATACAGGTAATAACAGATACAAGTAATAACAGACAAGGATACTGTTGGCCTGTCTTACTCACCAAATGATTTCTGCATTGATTGCTGCCCAGAAAGTTAAAAAAAAATTGTAACACTGATACAAATTTTATGCACATCAAATGCTGTTGTTTGGAACAATAACTGCAGAAAATTATCTCATGTATTGAATATGTGTATACATGTATCAAGTCTTGATTTTCATCTTTAGTTAAGTAAGAGCTTTTTTTCTTTTTTTTCAGTTATGTGTATGTCCCCATCTTGCCAGCACCATTGGTAGAAGTCCTCAACACCCCCACTCCTTTCATAGCAGGAGTTCATTCATCCCTAGCTGAAGACACTGCTGATCTGGTAGGTCAAGTAAAGGCCGGAGAAACACTTTTATAACTATTTATTACGCTGTGATATGTTAGATTGTAATAGTGAAGTTAAGATCATGGACTAATTATTACAATTATCATGATTATTAGTGCAGTGTTTGCATTCATGAAACACATACAAGATCACAATTTAGAACAAAAGAACCAATTTATTAGGCACTCGGTGTACTGAAGCCATTCCAGTTCTGTTGCAAAAGCTTCCAGAACTTTAAGCTATAAGATGTGGAAGATTTTTATCCATGTTGCACTGAATTAACACTGGTGATAGTTGATTGATGTTTAAGTTTGTACTTACATTGTATTTTAATCAGGTGGATGTGATCATTGTTGATCTTGATGGAGGAAGTGTCCACATACCAGAATGTGTCAATCTCCCGATGTTACCCGAGCCCATGGTGTCTCGTGCAAAGAAAGCCCTCACCATGGTAACCAGCTGATTACTCTCTGTAAAGTGTGGTGACATAGCTTTCTAGCTTGAGAAAATGGAATGTCAAATCACATCTGCTGAAATGCATTGAATTTATGTGATTTTCTTACTTTGCAGTGTTTTGTTCTTGTGAATAGATTTATGTCTCTGCACTCAACTTTTATTGTCTATATTTCTTTGAAGTACAGTAAATATAAGGTGGAGAAGTTTACTTTCTTTAAAATTTTGAAAATATTGGTTTAAAAATGTCAATATTTTCCCCTATAAAGTGATATAAGTTACTAAGTTAAGGTAATAAAAGTATTGAAGCCAAATTGAAATATTGCAATGACTTGGGTTTCAGATAGATATATCTTCCATATCTACATTAACTTGGTCAGAAATGGTAAGATAAGGATTTCTTTTTTTCAGCTCTAAAACTTAAAAACTGACAACCTTCTGCTCAATATCATGGAATGCATTGATAGCTGTTAAAGTGGGTTGCGTAAACATGGGGAAATGTCATCTTTGAAAGAAACCCACTTCCACTCAGCTGCTATTTGCAAGCAGTTCATTCTATCTTGGCAAATAATTGAGATGGCTATAGCATGAAAATTTTTGTATGTCCCTTCAAACAGAAAGAAATCTTAATATTTACCCTGTCAAATCATCATTTTCCTCATCAAGAACAGATAAACTTCATGTACTAACAAAAAAGCTACTGTAAACCTGGTTTTGTGATACGTGCAAAACAAAACTTTTAATGACATCATTCATCAATATTTCATTAACAACATTTACTGTACATAATTTTTGACTTCAAACAAATTTACAGAAATTAAACCGAACATTCTTAGTAGAATCTATTGATGTACTTAAATTGTCAGCATTGTCAGTCTCACCTTTACACATGGCTTTTCCTCTTTTTTTTATTTAAGAAGTACATGTATTTTTTCAGCGTAAATTGAGCGTTACATAATTGTCTTCCTAAACAAATTTACAGAAATTAAACCGAACATTCTTAGTAGAATCTATTGATGTACTTAAATTGTCAGCATTGTCAGTCTCACCTTTACACATTACACATTACCTTTACACCGCCTAAACAGGTGATGAACTCCGACCTCCTGATGGCAGACTATGCATTTCCTCCTCCTTCCCCAAAGAAACCTCCCTCACTCGAACAAAAGGTCAGTCATTTAAATACTGAAATCTTGTACTACATTTATGAAGGGGTATTCCTAATATATGCATAAACAATAAATTACAATGTTTGAAAGTAATACAAAATAATAAATTTCAATTTTTTTTGCAATGGCATATGGAGAAAAAAAAAAGCAAGCAATTTTAGTAATTTTATTTTTATGCCTATTTTGCAGCTTTTTATGTTGTGTTATTTTAGGATAAAGAAATTCGTGCAATATTTATACGTTTTTTTGCTGAGCTCCTGACTGGGTACAGATCTTGTCTGACTGTGATTAGGATACACCCAGAACCTTTTATTACCTTCCACAAGGTAAGGAAAAAAGATAGGAGGAGAAAATATCAAATCTAATGTACAGCTTTGTTTGACAATCAATGTGTTAATGTAGGGGGCTAAAAAGTTCAATTTTTTGATGAAGAAAATTCATGTACATGAACAAAATGGTATTAAGAGAATGGAAATAAGGCTTTGGGTTATTTTACACTGCTGTGTTCATTAGGCAAACTTCCTGGGCCACAGAGGGATGGTGGATGATGAGTTCCTGGTGCGGGTCCTGGAGGGGATGGGCTTTGGTACGTTTGTGGCCGAGAGAGGGACTCCATACAGAACCTGTGATATTTTTGATGAGGTAATTAAGTTTGGCTTAAAAACAGGTAACTTTATCTCAAACACTGTAGTTCACTTAATATTTGCAACATTTTATTTTTGGGAGATTGTTATTTGCTTATCATAAGTGAAAACATTTTCATGAATTTTGGTTATTGCTCTGTATGCTCTTTACTAGAATTATAATAATTACAAGAATGAAATTTTCATGATCAAATAGTCCAGAGTAATTACCTAAAAATAAAGTTCTCACAAATAGGAAGAGATTTACAGGATTTCTTTTTCATGTATCTTGATCAAACTTTGTAACCAGGCATCATTTCTCTGTATTGTTTGCTGTTCTTAATAAGGGAAAGCAATTCATATCTTTGTTTCTTGGATCATAAGGAGTTCTGTGGTTTTTTTTTAGGTCTATGCAAATATACATGATCAGCTGACAGAAGAATCAGCTGACTCAGAGAAGATTATGGAGCACATTAAAGATCTAGCCAAGCAACTTAACACCAATGTAAGAACATTTATGGTAGTACCAGACGTATGTTTATTTTTCCTTTTGTGCTGTAAAAATTCATGTACATATAAAAACACTAGTGCAGTTGTGAATGGGTACTATCAATGTGTGTTTTATAAAATTTTCAAAGTGTATGCAATTTACATGTATGTTTCTGTGATATCCCTACCGGTAACTTATGAATTAAATGGCAGATCCACTTTTAAAATAAGTACACTTATAAACTAAGAATGTTATGTTTTGTTAACACTACATCAATTTTTAAGTCTTTTGTTTGGATGAAAACATACTTGTTCAATGTTTATGCACTTATAAAGGCATTGTAAGATCAAATAGAACTTAATTTAGTATAATCTACTATTTAATTGTTTTCTTAATTGCTTTCAGGAGAACCCCAATCCCCAGCCTTATGTACAGAAAGTTCCCAAACCAACAGACGGGGCCTACTCCAGGATACATCAGACACCATTTCCTTTACTGGACAGTCAGCATGTACACAAAATCTTAAAGGAGGGGATAGAAAAACAAAACCAAAAGTAAGCTCTGTGGTAATGAAGTAATAGATCTGTTGAAAGATAATTCAGCATCACACAAATGTCACAATAATGGTCATCATTTTAAATGCTTTTTAAAGCACTGGACTATTTTTTCTTTTAAATTTTAAAAACATTCATAATATCAGGTGTTTATGATAGTATTTCTAATTGATGAAATTTGTAGATTAGATACCCTTATAATGTTTATTTTGTTGATTGTTATGGAAATACTTTGATGAGCTCACTTTAATCTTGGACAGGATGGCTGTGCGACCTAACCAGGTGCGGATCGTTCCCATGGGAACACCAATCACAGCACTCGTAGACAGACAGAGGATGATGGACAACAATGCAAGGCGACTCGAAGTCCTCCGTAACTGCATTAACTTTGTATTTGACAACAAAATCTCTGATGCAAGAATTGTAAGTGCAAAATATCTGTCAATTTTCAAAGTATATATAATGATAAAATATGCTAAGCCTTCATTCAGGGTTATTCCAGAAAATGAAAATTAGTGATTTTATTATATTACTGGTATTTACATATACACATATCTAAAGATCCAGATTAATGTCTATTCAGATCTTCCCTGCTGTATTACGAGCATTGAAGAGTCGCGTGACTCGCCTGGCCTTGACCCAGGAGTTGAGTTATCACATCAGGTCCAACAGAGCTGTCCTAGAACACCAGCAGTTTGATCTGGTGGTCAAACTCCTCAACTGTTGTCTACAGAATGACTCCAGCATGGACGAAAATGGAGTGGCAGCGGCCATCTTACCTCTGGCTACAACCTTTTGTAGGGTGAGTGTCCACAGTCACTGGGGTTGGCAGGAATTTTATATGCTGAAGATTTTGTTAAAGATTTTCATCTAGTCAAAAAGATGATATAAGAATCATTTCTTATGCTGATCTTCCTTCATTCTTCATTTATTTTTATCCCAGTTATCTCAAAATTGTATTCCTTAACATTTAGTATCATTAAGTACCCACTCTCCCAAAACAAAAACATGTACTGTATGCTAAATAAAACATTACCTTGAATGTAATGAAAAGATTTTTAAGTGTGCTTAGTTGTCTTGAATGGCATTTTGAATGAAATTGATTCTATTTTTCTTTTTATGTTTTTAGAAGCTGTGTACCGGTATTATCCAGTTTGCGTACACCTGTGTACAGGAACATGCAGTGTGGCAGAACATGCAGTTCTGGGAGGCAGCATTTTACCAGGATGTACAGAAACAGATACAGCAGCTGTACGCACCGCAATACGAGGAGAATAACGTCAAAGATAAAAAACACGATAGCTTCCTAGGATCACCCACACATAAAGTAGGTACCGAGGAGAATTCAAAGATAAGAAACATGATAGCTTCCTCAGATCACCCACACATAAAGTAGGTACCGAGGAGAATAACGTCACAGACAAAAAGCACGATAGCTTCCTAGCACGATAGCTTCCTAGGATCATACACACACAAAGTAGGTACCGAGGAGAATAACTTCACAGATAAAAAACATGAAAGCTTCTTAGGATCACCCACACATAAAGTAGGTACCGAGGAGAATAACGTCAAAGATAAAAAACATGATAGCTTCCTAGGATCACCCACACATAAAGTAGGTACCGAGGAGAATAATGTCAAAGATAAAAAACATGATAGCTTCCTAGGATCACCCACACATAAAGTAGGTACTGAGGAGAATAACGTCACAGACAAAAAGCACGATAGCTTCCTAGCACGATCACCCACACACACACAAAGTAGGTACCAAGGAGAATAACTTCAAAGATAAAAAACATGATAGCTTCTTAGGATCACCCACACATAAAGTAGGTACCGAGGAGAATTCAAAGATAAAAAACGTGATAGCTTCCTAGGATTACCCACACACAAAGTAGGTACCGAGGAAAGTAACGTCAAAGATAAAAAACATGATAGCTTCTTAGGATCACTCACACATAAAGTAGGTACCAAGGAGAGTAACGTTAAAGATAAAAAACATGATAGCTTCCTAGGATCACACATAAAGTAGGTACTGAGGAGTATAATATCAAAGGTAAAAAACACAATAGCTTCCACGGGTCACCCACACATAAAGTAGGTACCTTGTCAAAATGATTATGTCAAAATATGTATGTAGAACATGTATTTTAAAAAAGCATAAATTAGAATTTCATTGAAATAAGTAGAAGTCTACTAATTTTTATGCTTATGAAATATTCTTACCTTGATTCAGGTTGATTAAGTTCTTTTCTCCATACATGATCATGATCTTATTTTTTTTAAATTGAATCGCACATGAAGCATTTGATTTAAGCATTATTTGTAGAGACTGATTTTTTTTCTCAGAATAATGAGTTGAATGTTAGTAAGAACTGCAGTAATGGAGGCAGTGTCACACCAGAGAGAAGATCCAGTTATAGGGGCCGGGAGATGGGGGCACTGGAAATTGCTGCTGAACAGGTAATCATAACGAACACCTAGATGTCTAAAGTTTATCAGGGAAAAAATTCATAATGTTTAAACAATCATCCATATTGAATGATGATTTAATGACTGCTGATCTTGATAACCATTTTAAAAAACCTACAAAGAAGTGTGAAATATATACAATACTAAGATATGTAATTAATGAGGGTGTGAATTTCTAGTTGAGGACCTGGTCGACCCTGAGTGAGGAGAAGAAGGAGGAGCTGATCAGTAACGAGGAGTCCACGGTCTACAGCCAGGCTATACACTACGCCAACAGGATGGTCTACATGAAGGTACCACTGGAGACTCAGAAGAGCATCAAGCCCCTGTCTCCTGACTGGGATAGCACCAGTAACAGCAATATAGCCTCCAGGTAAAGGCCCAGCCCATTGTTGTAGGTAGAAATCTCTGGAGGGCTCAGTCTGGTAGAGTTAGTAAAAGGTCTAGTTGTAGAAAAGTGTATTTACAATTGCAGTGAAAACATACATTCTTAGTTTCTGCTTTTGGAGTATCTTCATATTCATGCTAGAAAGTGTTGAGGTATTAAGGATCAACAAAAGATCTCACTTCCTTATAACCAAGATTCCTCATATCTGAGCCATATGCAAAGTTTTCTGTACTGTGTATAAAACTTTTATACTGCATTTATAAGGATCAGAATTTGACGTTTGGCTTATGAATCTTTTTTAGCCTGGCAGACAGTGAGAGTAATGATGCTGAGAGTGGGTATGATGAGATGGAGATATCAGATGTGGGTACCAGTGTTATTAAGTTCGTGACCCGCTTTGTGGACAAGGTCTGTAATGACAGCCGAGTGACCCCCGAGCACATTAAGTCCCTCCATCAGATGATCCCAGGGGTGGTGGCCATGCACATAGAGACCCTGGAGGCAGTCAACAGGGAAAGCAAAAGATTACCTCCCATTCAGAAGGTGAAGAACTGTCTTCACTCTGCCTGAAACTGTAAAATGTGTATATGTAGAGTAAACTGTGGGCACTAGAGAAAATTATTTAAAATAGTTCAACTATAGTTAGATTGACAAAAGAAAACAAATATTTTATGGTAGAAAAGATTATTAAAACCTCTGAATTAGAATTAGAATGCTTTTAATATTAGTAAACTGAAGATTGTATCAGATTTGAATAAAGGTTTTTGAATTTCAACTTAAAAAAAAGTAAACATTCAACACATTTAATCAACTACATTTTGACATTTCAGCCCAAGATCCTGAAGCCCACTCTGTTACCAGGAGAAGAGGTGGTGATGGACGGTCTGAGGGTGTACCTCCTCCCTGACGGTCGCGAGGAGGGGCTTGGAGGAAACATGGGGGGTCCCACACTACTGCCAGCAGAGGGCGCCATATTCCTCACAAACTACAGAATCATATTCAAAGGAACTCCCTGTGATCCTCTTGGTAAAAATTTATCCTTGATGCAGTTTGACTGAAGTATTGTATTCTAGTTTTCAAATATACCTCTAAAGTTTCCTTTAAAAGGCATAGACATAAAGCTTTTATTGTAGTTATTAATGTTTAAATAAGTGTACTAACAGTTTAAATAATGAAGCATTATCTTACAGCTTGTGAGCAGATAGTGATTCGATCTTTCCCAATCTCCACACTCACAAAGGAGAAGCTAGTCAAATTACAGTACACTCCACACATAGATCAGCTCCCAAAGGAGGGGCTACAGCTGAGGTCCTGTATATTTCAGGTAAGATCACATAGATCAGCTCCCAAAGGAGGGGCTACAGCTGAGGTCCTGTATATTTCAGGTAAGATCACATAGATCAGCTCCCAAAGGAGGGGCTGCAGCTGAGGTCCTGTATGTTTCAGGTAAGATCAGTGTCACAGGGACTTAAACAGCTACATTAACTGTACAAAATTGGGTCTTAACATTTTTTGCCATCAGTGTCTGTGTAATGAATTCAGCTTATAACTAACTCATGATTTCACATACATTTAAAAGAGAAGCATCAAATGTTGACACATATAATCATATATATTTATAATTAACAGTTGATGAAGATAGCATTTGATGAAGAAGTGGTCCCAGATGATTTAGAGGCATTCCGTAAACTGTCCATGAAATATAGAAGCCCAACCAGTGTCTTTATGACCTTTGCCTTTGTTGGACAATCCATACCTCAACCCAGTACCATGCTGAAACCAGTGGAGAAGAATGCCTCTCTCAAGTAAGTAGACAACTGCATACATTAAACAATGGTGTCAAAGTATTGAAATAATTTTGAATATACTACTATCATGTATTTAAATATGTTTTATTAAATATGAGTGATATTACAGAAATTTTGCCAAGAAGACAATCATGAAAACTGCCAGAAAAGCAGGGATAGCAAAACAGAAGCCACCCAAGCGGAAATATGTGCTGCCTACTCCTCCTATGGGTCGGCGAAGCATGTCCCCAAGGTCGTCGGCGGGGTCAGACAGTGAATCAGACCGACCTGTCAGTGAGGCCATGGATGACCTCTCAAGTATGTAAAACTTACAAGTTCTGGTTTATAAAGTCAATTATTTAAATACCCATATAATTTTTAAGTTGCTTTATTTAATGCATGTTTAATGATAATAAAAATTAAATTGATAGTGTGAATGCATAGAGTTTTTTTGTGTGTTGAAATTGCAACTTCAATTTAAAGTGAAAATTTCTTTGACCAATTTGACCAGAAACTTAAAAGCACTTCAAGCTACATGATTTCCTGTATTACTTATCAGTTTGTTAACTTGACAGTTATAGATGAGGGAGAATTCAACAGGAGCTGGTTATCTGACCCCAAGGTGATAGAAAGGTTAATGGAGAGGCCGGGTTACCAGGATTATGTTCGGCAGGGGTTCGGGGATCCTTCTGACTCCTCCACAGTGACAGGGAAATCCACGGAAAAATTCAGAATCTCCACAGTCAACTCAAACTTCTCAGTATCTAAAAGGTAGGTGTAGCTGTTTATCTTGTATGAAGTTAAGTGGCTGTGTTAGAATTTTTTGATTTTCTATAAAATGATGTTTGATAAGATGAATGTTTTTCTCTGTTTCAGTTACCCTGCATTGTTGGTTGTTCCTGCCAACTTCCCAGATGATAGCATAAGAAAGTTTGCCAGGACACACAGACAGTACAGGTAAAGAAAACTAAGGAAAAGAAATTATAAACTTAGTTTGGTATCCTATGTAAAATTTGCTTATTGTTCAACACTGTGATTCAGGGTTTTAAATGTTTGTGCATATTCAATTTATTTTTACTACTTCTAACTAGGATTTTATAGCCTCTGTAATTTTATTATTCAGATTTCCTGTGGTGACCACTGTGTGTTGTTACGGGCAAGTGGTTTCCATGGTCGTGGTCTGATGGGGATGCTAAAGTCAGATCCTGCAACAGGTTTGATTTTGTTTGTAAACCTCTAATAATTAATTTAATCCTTCTGATGTTTTGTTACATTTTATCACTGCCCTAGACATACATTTTAAATTTTAATGGTTTTCAGAATTTATTTCCTGTACAAACTTGTGTTATTGATAACTGTGATGGACAAAAAGGAAGTTGGCATTAATAGGCCGCATTGCATATATGTACAATAATGAATAGGGTCTGGCATACTACCGGGCAAAAAGGCCTTGTTGGTCACAGGGCCAGTGGGGCCGCACATCTGTATTTTCAGGGTCAGCAGTACTTTAACACCCAAGTACTCCAGTACTAAGCCTCCCCTCCTGTTGATGGGGATGTTAAAGTCAGACTTTTTACTTTACTTTTGCACATTGCCAGGTTTGATTTACCAAAGTGCCCACCAACTTATCTGCTGGCTGGGCAGGGAAACAACGAGCCAGATATGTTCACAACCCTCCCCCTTCGCCCCCCTTTAATACAAGAAGGGACGGGGGCATATTGCTAAATTTGCTTGACATTAGTCTAATCACAGTCTTGAATCACTTTTGGACTGGCTTTGTGCTCGACCTTGTATTAGCTGCCGTTTCTGGACTTCAATTCCTTCGAGCTGGAATTTTTTGGTTGGCCCTCTTTGTTGCTGGTTATCTGAAAAAGGCAAAAAAACTGACAGCAGATTACTGCAATTTGCACATTAGCCAATGGTTGCAAATGAAATTTGGTATGTACATATATATATATATATATCTTATAGATAGTGAACATCTAGGTCAAAAGCGGTCTCGATGTATTTGAGGCCTGAAGAGACCTGTAAAGAACCCATGCTACATTAGCTAATAATTGACAGTATAAGTTATGCCCCTTGGACTTGAGAAAAATACCAACTAATTCACTCGTACCAAGATGACTTTAAGATTTTTGCCCATTATTAGTTTTAACAACGTTATATTTTCAATTAAATGAGAGAGGCAAATTAATCTGCACACGTGATCACTGCCCTGCAGGATGACATGCAATTCCTTATGCTCATAAGATCACTATTCCTTTTCCTTGGTGTTAACTTTGCAATAGACAACAGTTGGATGGTTTTCATTGAATTTATTAAAGACGAAAAAACATACATGTACAAACTTGTGTTATTGATAACTGTGATGGAAAAATTCAATTTATATATGCAGTTTCCGTTCAGTGGCCCTGTGTTTCTTTCCCAAATTTGGGTACTAGACAGAGGTTGCACACATTGAAATGGAATTTAGTAGCCTCCCCTCCTGTTACAGATTAGTCAGATGAAAAACTTCTTACTTGACTTTTTACTTTACTTTTGTTCAACATTGTCATAGGTTGGATACTTTGTAGACAACCTGTCTACCCAACAGAGTGCCCACCAACTTATCTGCTGGCTGGGCAGGGCACCATAATTGACAGACAGTTATGCCCTTTATTTGGACTTTCCCCTTCCCTTGAATGAGGGACCACAAACCACTTTTTATTTTTAAGAAGGTTCTATTACCCAGCTCAGAGAGATGCGTTCCATCAAATCTGAACATGTCCGTATTAGCAACACAAATGTTTCCATGAGAAATAACACCCCCACCCAATTCTGTGACAAATTTGAAATATTTTTGTTACAAACATCTCTTGACCACACCAGTTTATATACATTATATGCTAAACTTAAATTTTTTGCTGTAAATGAATTACTAAGTAATTGGGAGGTACTTCCTGTTTGATGAGCTGTAGGATTTTTGGATCGAGTTCCTGCCAGTGCATGTTCGTGTTTCCATGACAGTGTGGCAATTAAACACTAATTAATATTTTTTGACCTGCAATGCTTTGGGTCGGTTAGTTCTGGGTTAAAATTAACTATATACATGTTCCTCCCCCCAAATGTTATTCTTTTTTTTTTTTTTTTTTTTTTTTTATAGGTGTGGGCATGTTGTTGAATGAGTTACATGATCCTTATGTATAAGAAAAGTGATTTCCAACCAAATGAACAGAATGGTGTAATGCCATGAAAAAAATGACCTGATGGTGTTGGTATAATGTTTTTAATGGCCTTTTGAAGGACGGCATTGAATTGGTATCTAGTTAATGGTTTTGTATCGAGATGAATTAGGAAGCTGTGGTTGACAGGGGTAAACTATAAAATCCAAAAAGCTTTAACTATAAAGCGGTTGGCTATGGATAATGAATGTGGATGTATATATGCGGTATTGTTAACCTTAAATAGGGCTTGTCTTGTTGAGTTTGAATGTGTTGGAGTTGTATGCAATGGGATGTATTTGGCGTGTTTGGGTTGATTACAGTGAATTCCCCAATGCGGAGTAATGCGAAGTATGCAAGTGAAAAGGCACATGTAAACAATTTAACCTCGTAGGTAGAGTGACACACAGACTGAAGCGATGTGATGAGCTTTTTTAATATTGATATGGTGATTGGGAGGCGATTAATCTGCCTTCAATCTAAATATGTGTTGTATGTGAGTGCTTTAGTTACATTTGCTTTCTGTCCATTAGGTACATCTACTGGTGAGATCTCGGCATCCCTTCAGCAGGAGCGATACTTCTCCTGTATCGTGTCAGCCACTCCTAACAGTATGAGGTCGTACAAACCCTCCTATAGCGACTCCCTCACCAGTCTGGACTCACTCATGTTGACGGGAGTCCAGGAATCCTTACTAGTCCCAGAAACCCCGGAGGTGGTGCGGCGGTCCCACCCCGCGGCCACAGGGAGTCTACGTAACATCAATAACCCCAAAACATCCTGTAAGTATCTCACTTTATCTTATAATTTACTGGCTACAATAGTTATACATTAACAGCTATTTACAAATACACATTTACACACATATGTATATATACAAATGTAAATATTGGTAGTCATGTATTACTTTGTCTGACTTTGTTTTATTAGATGTTCTTTCCACAACAGTGATTTTCATATGCATGCACAAATCATTGTTGTGGCATACAAAGAGAAGGTTATTTAATTTTCAAACCATGAACATCCTTACATGTAATTTGATTCAGAAGTACTGGTACACAATTTATTTTGATACCTGGTTATGAAGATTTTTGTCTACATGTTTATATAGCCTATGTGTTATTGGATTACTGTATTAATGTGAGAGTTAGGAATCTGCATACTTCTGATATTTCTAATAAATACCAGCTAGTTCTACATTTTAAATTACCTGGTAATTATATAATATATTTTGATATCATGTGTTTGCAAGAAGCCAGAAAATATGTTCTCATTGAAAAATCTAATCCCTAATTTTTATTGGCCCTCATGGCAGTAAAAGCAGGTAAGATAACTCTTGCGGGCACTCTATTCCTAGCTGTTATATTAATATTCTCAGTTTCATTAGCCTTCAGTGTGGCTTCATTGTTTTACTTTTGTTTGTATTAAGTTTTATATAGAGTACCTGAGCCAAAGGCTCAGGTGACTTTTCTGATTTAAATTTTTTATGGGGATATTCTGATCAAAAAAATACCTATTTGAAGGTCCTTTTTTATATTTTTTAAAACAAAAATCAAAATAGGGAAAAACCAATAGTCAAGAATGACTAAATAATGAAAGATAAAGTTTTGACTAGACTGTCCTTTATGCAGTGCATTTTAAAGTTTTAAATTGACCCCCTACCCCAAAACTAGGTTTGAGAAGCAGTATTATGAAAGGGCATTGTTTTATATGATGCATAGGTTCAAATTTTATTTCATTGAATAACAACTTTACCACAACTAGTCAAATGAAGGAAACATTCTTTCTTTGTCAGAAATTATGTTAACATTGAGCAAAATTTTCTCATATCCCTTAATTAACAGTTTCATATAAATCTGCAAACATCCTCATGTTTTTGCAGTAAAAGCAGGAATAAGATATATTCATGGGTATTAGAGAAATGTTCAGAGACTTTAAAGAACAAGACTCCAGTTTATTCACTTGATACAAAACTTAAGTTAAATTTGTAAATTTAAATTGTTGAAACTATGGAAATTATTTTAATGGCCACAACCAGCTAGTTCATTTTTTGAAACTGTTGTGTGGCACTTCTTCTGGGGTTTAGTTTATGACCTGAAAATTGTCCCCTCACTTTCTGTCTAGAGAAATAGTTTTACCATCTGTTAATTTTAAGTTATTTATAGTTAATTTTGTGTTTCTCCTGTAAAACTAGTACTGACTAATTTAATCATTTACTAGTTGGTAATAAAAATGTATTGTACAATGTGTCTTGTCTGCTCTGTTTTTGAAAAAAAAATGTGTTCAATTTGGGTATAAATTTCTTAACAAAATTTTTTATATGTGGTGTCTGTCAGTCTGTCTACCCCCGGCGTTTTATCATAAAGTTGTCCAGTCCTTCTGTAAATATTCTAAACCAAAATTTTCAGGGATGTACACTACCAAACTTCTTGGAACTACTACATACATTTTTTTTAAAACAAAAAACTGGAGCAGGTTAAAGTTTTTGGAGCAGGTCCATTCCCAAGGAACTATAAGCCCTACCGGGACCAAATTTGCATGGATGATGCATAAAAAACCTCGGAATAGTCAAGTTAAAAGCAGGTTGACTGAATTATGAAATTTGCATGGTTTGATAGAATTTCAGACTTTTAAGCACAAGATTGCAGTTTATAAACCTGATATGAGACTTCAACATTTGTTTTTTTTGATTTAAATTTTTGAGACTTTGGAAATTATCTCCATGGCCACAACCAGCTTGTTCATTCATTGAACCTGTTGCACATGTGAGCACTGTGGCTTACAGGCCTCTTGTTTTAGAATCTTACATTGACCTGAGAATCTGACAACGGTCCCTCCATTCCTCCAGTTAAAATAATATCTGAGGAAAAAGTTTTATGCTTATCTGTTCATTATTACTGTCTTGCTTCATGTTAAATTAATATTGTCAATTTGTGTTACTCCTGTAAAACTAGTACTGACTAATTTAATCGTTTATTAGTAGGTAATACAAATGTATTGTAAAATGTGTCTTGTCTACCCTTTTTTGAATGTCAAAAATTTGTTAAATTTTAGTATATAGAATGGAGTTTGATTTTATTATTTTTAAGAAAAAAATACAGACTGTATTTATTAGTAAGACTTAAGTAGGCAAGTTTCATTGTAAACAAAGTAGATTGGACCAAATATTACTTGTAATTTTTATCTATTTTGCATCAACAAATAATTTTCTAACTATTAAGCAAAAATTCATTTTAATATATTTAAATTGCTTCATTTGATTTTATAAATGCTGATTAACATTGATTAACCACTTTGAAAAATTACTTTTTTTTACAAGTGTTAAGATGGAAGTCCAAGGAATTTGTTTTTTTAAGAATTTTTTATATTTACCCGATAGTTAACCATGTACAGCAAATATGCAAAATAGAAAAAAAATACAACAAATTTGATGGTAGTATGACATATTTATAATTGACACATACTGGGTAGTTTTGTTTATGGAATGCTATTATGAGTTATTTCCCTTTGAGCCTCTGTTGAGTTGACTCACTGTAACTGTTGTTTTGTCAGCTAATCGTGACTCAGTCTACTCCATTGCCGAGTCTAACCCCGTCACAGGCAGAAGCAGCCTATTTTTACGGGCTGTCAACATGTTTCGGCCGGGTGGGGCTAAAAGCTCCCCCGAACGTAGGTTTATTTTTTATTTTCACAGCATGTTGGTGCATTTTGCATTTCATCACTGACTTTATTGAGTTAGTTTTTTTGGATTGAAATTACATGTGAAACATGTATCTACAATCACAAACTTTTTTTATTTGAAACTTTTTTGGATGATTTTCCAATTAATGTTTTAATTCTTTCATTTAATGTTTCTTTTCAAATTCTGATGATTATCAGAGTGTAACTTGCACAAATGATAAGATTTATCAATCAATAATGATTAATAATTAATTTTATCATACATATGAAATATTAAGGTTTAATATTTTTTTCCAGAAAAAAAAATGTTTGAAATTAAAAAATTCTTTAATTTTCATATTACATGTATTATATAGTTTACGTGTATTTATATAGCCAATCATACAAGTTTAAATGCACTTATTTCAGATGCACGTGCCACACTAAATTAGCATGTTCATTGAAATTTATCATTGCAAAGAATACTTTTAATCTGTCCTTGATTTGCTCATTTGAATTTTTTTTTCAATTCAAAAGAACAAATTTTGCTTTAAGACCAAGAGCAACTTTATGACCCAGCAGACAAGCTATTAACATGATAAAGCTATAGGAAAGGCATATGTTTTCTCCTAATCAAACTCCAAAATAAATTCTTTAATTTCTATTAATTTCTATTCACAAGTACTTCTTTTTCACAGTGTTTTATTTTTTTTAAGCACATATGGACCTTAAATGGTCCTAGAGTGGTTTTTAAAACCAGACTGTTAATGGTCTCAGACATACATGTATTTAATATCACTTATTGTTTGCACTGTTTGGTGTACTTTTCAGTTTTGACTTTACCACGTCGGACTCGAACATTGAGGAACGCTTGGCCAAGTATATAAAACTGTATATTATGAATGTTGCATGTATGATCCAGGTCATGCATTGCTGTGTCACCACCAGGTGGCAGTGTACGGGGTCCTCAATAGGGGGCGCTGTACAAGCACTTTATGATGTTTTCTTCAGTTTTTTTTAACACAATTTAGTTTGACTGTATCAAATTTTTTATTAACTGATTTATGGATTTTTTTAAAGTTGTGTGAAAACTCATAAAGTACTGGCAAATAATCAAAGCTGCAATAAGATACTGCATTTTCACATAGTCAAAACATATATTATTGGCTTTAAAAGCTCATGTATTTTGCTTACAGCTTTTGTAATGCTAGCAATAGCTTGACTTGGATTCAGTACATGTTTATAAAATGCTACGAATGGGCCCCAGAATTATTTGAAGTACAAAAATGTAGTGATATTGAAAGAAGTAGAGACATCTTGAATGAAATTTTTTATCACCTTTGTAATCAATGAATGCCAGTGCAATGTGGTATGAAATGAACCATAAAATGGAACCTTGTTAGTGTCTTAGAGTAATGATTAGCTGGTGTCTAGTAATTTGGGAAAGATTGAATGGGGTACAAGAATGTTGTCCTGTGTAAGATTAGTAGAAGGTAAGGTAATATTGGGAAGAAGATAATTGTTATCTTCTCAACCTTTCTAGTCCTCTGTCTCTGCTATGTTCTGCCTGCAGTCTGTTCTCACTATATCTTTAATTCTTATACTTTTCCTCTATTTCATTAGTTTAATTTTCAGTTACATACATTTATATGGTAGAAAATGGGACAAATAAAACCTAATAGAAAGAAAACACCAGATTGACTTCTTTAATAGTTACTAACAGTTCTTTAAGTGGGATATTTTTATTTTCTTTTGTGTACCATTTTCTCCAGATTTGAAAGTGTTGAAGGATGTAGATATATAATAACATTTCAAGAATTACTAATTTCTGTGCATTTATATTGCATATCTCTTTGAAATTAATTAAAGTTTTTTATATCATTTTTATTTTTTTTTTTTAATTTTAAATAATTAAATTTATTTTAAAAAGACAATTACAGCTTTAAATTTCATTTTGATGTGTAGAGTAATAACATAAGACTTGCAAACACACTGTGAAATCACTGATGTTCGTTATGTAATTTGGTGTATGTAATTTAATATACAAACACTACAAGGTGAAGAAATAGAAATCTGACAAATTATCAAATTTTAAAGATACTGTAATCAGTGGTTCGAAATCCCCAAATCTTTTTCCCCTGAAAAAAGTGATTTCATAGTGCTGACATCTACTGAGGTCTGACTGATTAAGTTCTTGTTTTAGCATTTTCCCGCATTGGCAGTATTCGTGAAAAACCTCGGATGAATTCTAACAGTGCCACTCTAGATTCCACCACCATGTTACACCAGAACGGAGGGGTCAACGAGAGGTCAGATCTACTTCAGAGCTCGGTCCAGGGCCTCAAACGCGTGGCCCTGTATGTCCTTGGAGAAAAGGCTCAGATGAAGGTAAAGTTTTAAATCAAAGATTCAAATGAAAAAGGGATTAATTTAAAGGAATTCAGCATCTGAAATTCTTTCAAAAAGACAGGTTCTGTCCTGTTTACTTTATGAATGTAATTCAGGGATAAATCATTTACAATTAATTGTGGCATAATAAATGAAATCTCTTTTTGTCGGATAGTATACATGTATGTTTTATTCAGGGAATCAAGGCTGAATCCTTTCCTAAGTGTGATTTTATCCCTGTGGATTTTTATGAGGTCAGACATGTCAAGGCCAGCTTTAAGAAGTTAATGAGGGCGTGTGTACCTAGTGCACCCCTCCCAGCAGAAACAGGCTTCCTCAAGCTTGTGGAGGAATCAGAATGGCTCTTACAGGTAAAACCGTGATGGCTCCCTATATAGTAAGGTCATTTACTAGTAAAACTGGTTATTTTTTAGAGACCTACATGGTACTTATCCTACATTGTACGTGAAAATATCGCTCGGTTTTATTTTCCCCTGTATTGCCCATTTTATAAATAGGTCAATTAAACGCACCAAAAAACTTATCTCTCCTTTGACCTATTGTATTGAGGGGAATTTAAAATCATTTGAAATAACAGAGTGAAAATAACCCTGTATAAGTGATGTATTCTTGCACTATTAGAGTCACGGTAACTCTGCAGAAAATCACCGTGCCATTTTATTTTTTGCACATACCGATATATAATCACAACAATGAGGGTATAGTTGATAACAGTTATACCAGTAAATGTGACAATAAGACCAGTGTTTGTTATCTTAGATCCAGAACATCATGCAGCTGGCTGGAGCTACAGAAGACCTGCTGGATGTACAGGGGTCGTCTGTGATGCTGTGTCTGGAGGACGGCTGGGACTGCACCACACAGGTAATGAATTATAACGTAACTACTAAATATACTGCACCACACAGGTATACAGTCTCCTTATAATGGAAATATTACATGTTATAAATTTACGGCACAACACAGGTACACAGTCTTATCATTACATTTACTATGTCTTATCTTCAGAGCTAGGAATAGAAATTTACTATAAAAAATTATTATATGGGTTAATGCCTAATCCATAGGACTAATATCACGAGCATGTCTTAAATCATATTTTATAAGCATATCATCTGAAAAAAGGATAGGCCTAATTAGATTTAGAAAATAAATCAGAAAGTAAGGTCTCATCTAAATTTATATAAGATACTTATGTGATATATTGCTAGTTTGAGTAATCTCTTCATCATGGAATAAATAGAGTTCCCTTCCATTCCAGGTGGTGTCTGTGGCGCAGCTGCTCTTGGATCCATACTACCGCACCATTGAAGGATTCAAGTGTCTGGTGGAAAAAGAGTGGTTGTCATTTGGGCATCGCTTCACTCACCGTAGCAACCAGACAATAGCCAATCATGCTAGTGGGTTTGCTCCACTGTTTCTACAGTTTCTGGATGTAGTCCATCAGGTGAGTTGCTACTATTCTCTTGATTAATTTTGTGGTCATGTTTAACAACTTAGATCTTTAAAATGGTTCTGTAAAATATGAGGGGTGATCAAAAAGCGAACTATCTCTATATTAACAAAACCACAATTCAGATCAGAATGAAATTTGGTACACATGTTCTATAAAAAGCATATGTAATGCCCCGTGCTTGTGACGTCACAATGTGAAAATGACGTCATAAGGTAGATCACTTGTGACAAAAAATAGTTGACTCAGGAAATGAACGGCTGTAAAGTTAAACGTATATCTTGGAAATTCCTTTGCAGAAGTTAATAATAATTTGTACATGGTTTATGAAGACAACAGACATGCTAGAAGTTTTGTTATCAATTGGATTGATTGTATAAGTGAAGGAAGGGAAATGTTCAAAAATGATGTTTGTTCTGTTGCCCATTGAAAGCAAACTGGGAAAGATAACGTGTCCTTTGTTTCGCAATTTGATCTGAAAGATCGCCAAGTAACATTTTGAAAAATAGATAAATATCTTTACAATAATATAATTATTAAATCCCTAAAATTTTGTTTACTTTAGACTTTAAACATATCAGATATTATAAATTGAAGGTACCTATACTTAATCCACATGAATTAAACGAGGCTCAAAAGACAGATGACTTGGGTTTTGATAGTCACCATTCTCATTCTGCAGAAGGGTATCATTATCCACCCATACGATTGCCGAGATTAGGCCATTTCTGACAAATGGACTGTTTCTGTTGTAAAAAATAACTTGCATGGTAAGAAATATAAGAGCTGGAAAAAATTTTAAGCTTCTGTGACAGAATGCAAAAGAGCATGTCACGTGACAGCCTATATCACGTGATCCGCGCATGGGCAGAATGATTGCAGATGCACATTCAAATTGGAGAGGACTACTTTGAAACATTTTCAACACTGAAACTCTATATCAACTCTTTATTGGAAGAAATTTAATTAGTTTGCGAACTTTTTGGTCACCCCTCGTAGTTTACAATCTAAAATAAGCTCATGTTTTGTATTTTTCCTTGAATAATCAGGGACAGACAATTTCTAATAATAAATAATTACATGTACTTTGCTGTCTTGATACAGATTCACAACCAGTTCCCATTGTCTTTCGAGTTTAACCAGTTCTTCCTGAGATTTATTGCTTACCACTATGTGTCCAATCGATTCCGAACGTTCATGATGGACAACGAATACGAGCGGGTGGAGGCAGGCTGGCTAATGGAAGACAGGAGGTCGTCCAAGATCAACCATGAACAAGCTGATCTAGATGGTGTGTACAATGAATGAACAATTTATACGATCTCAGTTTATATACTATAGTCTGAGCATTTGACTGAAGTTTTGGACATTTTTTGATAATTTAAAAGGAATTGGAATATTTTTTCTACATATGTATATGTATATTATACTTGTTTTGATTTTGAATTTAATTCGTTTGATAAAACTTAACTTTTATTTTGTAGGTGGATTTGCCACAAGGCACCAGTCTCATCAGGGAAGCTCTATCTGGGACTACATAGAAAAACATCATCGTAAATCTACACTGTTCATGAACTTCTATTATAGCCCCTCAGACCAAGACGTAGTCCTGCGACCTTACTCCAATATCTCAAATCTAAAGATCTGGGACTACTTTCTGAATGAGGATCTCGCTCATGGCCCGGCCTATGAGATCGAGACGACAAACAAAGAAATCCAGATGAGTGAGGAGGAGAAAACTGACAGCGCTGGGCAACCGCTCATGCGGAGAATTGTCAATGGTTGTCATGACAATGTGTTCATGCAGCAACCCAACGTGTTCAGGCAAAAGCTTCAGGTATGACCAGCTGCTTTCATGATGTTTTATGAGTACAGGACAAGAAGACTTTATCAGTTTATGGATGTTTTAGCACTAATGGTCAAAAACTAGAAGAGCTGAATATAAAATGGAAAGGTGTCTACTGTCTGTCTTTCTGTTGTTCTGCAGATTTTATAGAATTTATCAAACTTAAGCTGATACATAGAGATGAGAGTTATTCAATTGCATCAACATTTTTTTTATTTCGACCTTTCTTTTGGCTTGACTTTCTTAAATTAGTGAAAATCTGATCTTATTTTATTCTTACAACAGGAAATACACAAGTTGGAGACAGACTTGGGACATTTTCAACAGAAATGGAAGACAATTTGGGATAAGCTTGAATTGCCCACTGGAAAACGAGAGACTATGCAAAGAAATTTGTCTTTTAATACTCAAATTGTAAAATCTCATGGACGCTCAATACACAAGCGATCAACGTTAGAAATTTTAGTGAAAGGAAAGATGTTAGGTGAAGCAGCAAAAATGTTTAGTCAGCCACACCGTTTTGAGAAGCACACCTATACCACGCCGGCCTACTGTGACTATTGTAGTCAGGTTCTCTGGGGACTCCTGAAGACAGGTAGGTTACGGAGGTCACTGAAATAAAGGGTCAACTACAGTACCTTAGACTTTAACAAGTTTATGTTTGTCTAATGTTTGAGTTAAGAACTGTTTTTCTTTGTATTCTGAAGCTTAATTTTTGATTATTCAGACAGCTTGGAAGGTTGGTAGTCGGTTGTCAAGTTTCTCTTTTTCTCGTGCTAAAGGAGTCAATTTGTAATTTCTTTCCTTGACATTGCATTTACAGTAAAACATGCTTATAATGAATTAATGCTTACAGCAAAGTGATTTTCAAAAGCAAAATTTTAATTATACAGTAATACATGCTTATAGTGAACATGCTTATAAAGAATTGATGCTACAGCCAAGTGATTTTCATTCTTGAAGTAAAATCTTCCACCCTTAGCACCTTGATAGGCCTGTATAATTGTTCTACTTTTGAGAGATTGTTTAATACTGGCCTTGAGACATGTAATACTTGTAGAATTGTTAAGTAAAACCCCTGTCACACCAGGGCTGCGTCCTCACGGCGACTGCACGGCGTCTTCAAAAAATGCAAAATGCCGAGGTGATCGCAGTAGAGTCTCCTACAGCGCCGTGACAACGCGGCGAGATCTCCACTGAACGCCGTAGGGTCGCGTAGGGTCTTCAAGAACGCCAGGGGACGGCGATCACTTTGAGCATGCACAAAGTACACAAAGTGATCGCGGTCTGATGAGAATGCAGTAGAAACGTAGTATGATCGCCGTAGCAGCGCAGTGAGATCTCCAACAACGTAGTGGGAGCTCCGTATGAACGCCGTGAAGACGCACATGATCGCGGCACGAACGCAGTGATAGTAGAATGCGCTTCCACGGAGACCTCATGGAGATGTCGAGGAGTCCTTGGAGATGTCACTGCGTTTCTGTCGCGTTTTCACGGCGCTTCTAATGAGATTCTTCATCTTGTGATTTTTTCGACTGCGAGTACAGAGCGACAGCACGGAGTTGTCACTGCGATCATTGCGCTTCCATGGCGTCTCTACAGCGTCCGTTGGCGATCACAATGCGCTTTCACGGCGTTGTTAGAGCGTTGTCAGCCAGCTCACAAAACAAGAGCAATGGGATCATATTTGATCATATTTGATCAGCGATAATTCCAACGTACTTGTTGCACTAGGAGCATTTAAGTGAGAAAAAAAAATGGAAGAGAAAATTACACCAGAACTCTGTTGTTTCACTTAAATTTTGTAGAAAACTTTTCGGTGTGTTTATTCTTTTTTTTACATTCATAATATGTTTAAAGAAAATCTAACTACACAACTGAACCGATGAAATTGAAAAAAGGAGTTTTCATAAAACTATTAATAATTCAGTACTAAATTATTTAAATATAGAACATTTTTAATTATTAAAAATATTCCTTGGCATGATTAGAAGTCTTTTCATCGTGTAACTTGATTCTTTAAATAAAAATGTTTGACATTCCTTCTGAATATATATCAATGAGTATAGAACGCATTGTGAACGTATTGTGAACGCAGCCAGCGCAGTGAAAACGCTGTAAACACGAGGTGAAAACTCCTAACGCGCTGTGAAAACTCCGCGGAAGCGCAGTCATTCGCCGAGAGATCTCCGTGAAAACGCAGTAGAACGCCGTGAGATCGCCGTAGAATCGCGTCTGTCGCCGTAGGGACGCCGTGACATCTTCATATTGTGAAAATTTTACAGAAATTTGTGCAATTTCCCTGCGATTCCACAGCGATTATAAAAAATTTAACAACGCCGTACTGACTCCGTGTGAACGCAGCTTGGTGTGACAGGGCCTTAACAGGTTTGTTGTGTTGTAGGGATGCACTGTACAGATTGTGGATACAACTGTCATGAGAAATGTCTGTCTCACGTACCAAAGAACTGTACAAAGTTAAAGATCGTCTCAGATTCCAGCAGTACCAACACAAGCGTATCCAGAGTATCCGACACATCTACTCTTAAAAGTAAGTTCACCAAAAAGAGATCTTGCTTGCCATCGGAAGGTATAAAGGAGAATATATGCCTCAAAACATTGGTTTCCTCTAAAGTTGATGCCAAAAAAATAAAAAAATTAAGATTTCCCCCAAAGTCTGGTCCAAAATAACCAAGTTATGGTAAAGTACTGAAATCTTGTAATACCGGTAATTGTTTCTATGTTAAGTGGTAGGACAGACGGCCATAGTATGACATGGAGTTAATTTTTCGCATTATAATTAAGATGAAGAGCTTCCAGTAGAAAGTGGTCCAACATATGCTACGTACACCCCGGCCACCACCAGCACAGAGAACAGCTGTCTCCACAAAGGCTACCTCTTCAAAAGAGGGGCCCTCCTAAAGGGATGGAAACAGCGCTGGTTTGTCCTGGACTCCACCAAACACCAGGTAAGGGGCCCCAAACAGGAGATAAATGTTGCATTTCTTTCTGAATATCTTGTACCAATTTGATCAATAATAACAGCTCTAGCTAAAAAAATGTGTATTGTGAACCTGAAAAAAAATTTTTTTTTTTAGTAAATACCGTAATTTGAAATTTTTAGATCTGTAAAAATGAATGAAAGAAAAAGATACGTTATTGCAGTGTTTAACTTGTGTTCACAACCTGTGAAACTGTAGCTGTGTTTGTGTTTAGATGTTAGATGTAAACTTTCTTTGACAGCTGAGGTATTATGACTCGGAAGAAGACACAAACTGTAAAGGTTATATAGAGCTATTTGACATCCAGTCTGTACAGACCATACGTAATGTACAGGGGGCCCCAAAAAAGGCTGACGAAAACGCTTTCTTTGAGGTAAGAACGAAGACAATTTATTATGTTTGTGCGTTTAAAAGGTTTATTGTTCCTGGAGAGCTTTTAGGAAATGCTAAATGTATCAAATCTATATACTTTGTTGTCTACAGTGATTTTGGTGTAAAAATTTATTAATAAATATAAGTTTGACATAAGCATTTCCTACTTTTAGGAAAATCATATTGCAAGGGGAATGAAATGATATGTTAAATTTTGTACATAATATAAACTTACAATGAAGTGCAGTTTTCATTAAAGTCAATAGATTATTGTTATCAGTTATAAATTAGTGCAATTTGAGCAAGTACTTCTGTATGTACTTATTTTTGTGATAAATAAGCAGGCAAGAAGCAGCACCTAAATGTGTATGTTTATAAATTATACATCAAAATTTTATTGACATATACATGGTGAATATTCATATGGTAAAACAAGTACTGTAGAATCACATATTTTCGTGGTTTGAGTAAAAACTCTTGGTTCATGGGGATTTTAATTCGTGGATGAAGAATTTTTGAGTAGTTATGTATGTAACATTTTACATTTCGTGGTGGACATGAATTTGTGGGTCTCTTCATACCTCGAAAACAACAAAAATTAACCCCCATGATAATTTGTGATTTAATTCACAGTATATGTAAAAGCTAGTCTGAATTAAGAATGTATTTTGACACATGCCTTAAACTGAGTTGGATTTTTTTTTTACAGCTGAAAACAAATCGCAGAATGTACAACTTCTTGGCAGCAGACGCTAAAACCGCTCAGAGCTGGATAGACAGGATTCACAGCTTTATATGAAGATGTGCTGGCGTATTTATCACACAAGTGCCCCGCTCTCAATTCCTGCTGTAAGACAGGTGCCATAGTCGGAACATCACACTGCCTGTGTATGTGTCATTTCGGGATTTGTACAAGTTGCAGCCCTTGATGCTCTTCACTACCATAGGAAAAACCCCACAAATCTGCTGAAATTTTTACATTGAATGTCAAATATTTCAAAACTGGCATGTTGGGATAATCCAATAAGATGAAGGAATACAGGAAGAAAAGATTAATTAACCTACAATTTTGAATGAATTCACATATATGCAGCTTGACTGAACTTTTTCAGAGTTTTTAAAAAGTACAAATAGCCCTATAATATATTTCTCTACACTTTTGCAATAGCAGCTGAATTTATATATGAACATGTGTGTTTGAAATCTGTGTTGATAACTGATTCAGAGAATCTGGGATCCCCTGCAGTGCTGCAATAGCTTGGTGCTTTATTCGTAATGTCAGACGTTATTCTGTGGTGTTCACCAACACAGATCCAGGAAGGCATGCTTGATGCATAATAGCTTTGTAAATATGCCCAATCTTCCCTACACCTTTAACAGAGTGGGTTGTGATAAGCTTATTGATGTTTAAAAGGGAAGATGACATGGCTAATGGGATTTTTTAACAGAAAGTAGTATAGAGTAGTGTTAAAGCAATACTTAGACTGACACAAAGCTGAACAAACACCAAACATAATATAGTACTGTGTATCATCTGTATAAAATGATATATCTCATTTAATGTTCTATCATGGTGTACAAATCATTCATACAGTTATTTATTTTTTGGATCACTAGATTTAGAGTGTGTCATGATGTTTCTGTGTACATAGAGACCCTGTCATATTCCAAGATGTAAATAGAGAATGTAGCGAGTTTTGTATGCATTCTTATGCCCCCCCCTTCTTATGTCCCCCCTCTTATCCCCCTCCCCTTCTCTATCAGAAACCTGTATCAGGGCTGTCTTTAATGAAGACATTTTATTTGTGTGAATTTTGTCATATTTTGTTTGTGTAGGCTTTACATATTGGGTTTTCCCTACCTTACATGTCTGCTAGTCAAAACTGAGCTATCAGTTTCATCTCTGACATCAGAAAGATCTGATCATTCATTAATCATACCTGGAAACAGGATACACCAAAGCTTTGATATTTTTTACAGAACAAATTTCCACCCTTTCAAAGAGAAATAACATTGATATTTGCTGAATACAAATATGTTAAATCATTTTTTAGCATGAAAATTCTTTTTTATATAACACTGAAAACCATTTATCTTAAGCTGTTTAAAAGTAAGGGTGACCAAGTTTTAGACTCCATGACATTTATAAATTTTATATTCATTTTACCACATACTCCTATATGTTTTAGTGTGAAAAATTGTAGATGTAAATACTGTTGAATGCTAGGAATAGAGTTAAAGATAGGTATTATAATTTTCAACTTCTGATGCATTCAATGAACCTGTGAAAATGTGGAAAGCTTGCTTCAGTATTCTTTCATCTCTAATGTAGAATCTGCTCAACATTTGTTAATTAGAATTATTGATGAGAACTTCTAAAACTTCTTCAACTTTGTTCTGTCTCAGTGTCATAAAGATGACTTCATCCAGTAGGAAATCTGTGCAATAATGTGTGTAAGATTTTGTGACGGTTGAAATAGGAGTTAACTCCCCTTGTCAGTATTGTACATTTTCCTCATAGGATTTTTAACATTCTGATTGTAGGCAATATATTATGTAATGGAGGTATTACAGAAGAGGCACTGTTTTATTGAATGTTTTATGAAAATTTAACTTGGAAAAAAAAAAGTTTAATTTTAATTATACGTTTTTTTTTTTAATGGAAGGACAACTTTTTGTCATTAAATTAAAATTCAGTCATCAGTATTGTATGGATATGTATTTTGTATTTATATGGTTTTTAATGAATATGAAAATCATGTATGCCTATTTATTTGATTATAATAGATACTCTAAATATTTTGATAAATGTATGAAATTTATGCTGGTATAGTTAAAAGTAATATGAAAGTGGTAATTTAATTATTTCCCCTACCTTCTTCTCTACTTGTTTCCATTAAATATCTAGGATTATTTTTTTTAATGAAGTACATGTAATTTTTCTGTTTTAGATTTGGTTATCAGTTGATTGATTTTCTGTTGTTGTAGTCATTGTTTTTCAGCTTGTATGTATGTTACATACTGACATAGGGTTCTGAAATAAACGTCATAAATTATCTACTATTTTATCATTTGATTTCTCATTAGACTTTTACCTCTAATGGCATATGCTTGATGAAGGTACCGTCACTCGGTTTGTTTGTTAACATCTTAAATGCCCTACCACGGGGCTACAGTGACAGGGCATGTCCTGGTTATATTGATATAGTGTGTATAGGGAAATTTTCCCCCATTTTATTTTTGCTCCATTCGTCCTAATCACGATTGGGTGAATTTGAAAGGGGCTAATTTAAAGAACACAGTATAATGTCTTAAACATAACAGTGACTGTGCAAATTTAAAACATGGCAAAGTCATGCAAAAGGGCGAAAATAACATGGGGTGAAAAATAAGCCGTGATACCATATATATATATAGTATATATATATATATATATATATATATATATATATATATATATATATATATATATATATATCAATTTCAGAAAATCTTTTAAGAATATTCTAACAAACAGACATTCTTTTCCCATAATTTAATTTTGTGTTATGAATACGTTTTCCTCTTGTTGTGATTTGGGGGGGGGGGGGGGGGGTGTGTTATACATGCATCAGTGACCTAAACCGTAGCCTTGATATTTGTTCAAGAGACAGAATTAATACATTTCCTTTTATCATTTTAACCCTTACCTTGTCTCTCAGTGTGTTAACAAGAGATAAAACACATGCAATTGGAATTTTTCCAAGTCCAAGGGGACCTGGCACGATTGTACCCAAAACATAACTTGACCTAGATATTCATCTGATAAATCTGTATACTAAATTTCATCAGCATTGTTGCAAAGAAAATGAACAGAAACTGCAAATAATTGGAATTTTTCAAAGTCCAAGGGGCATAACTCTGTCAAAAATGGTGCGATCTACCCAAAACAGAACTTGACCTAGATATTAATGTGATATATCTGTGTACAAAATTTCATTTCAGTATGTGCAACTTGAACGGAAACTGCAAATAATTGAAATTTTTACAAGGGGCATAATGAAAAAAATTACCCAAAACAGAAGTTGACCTAGACTGATAAATCTGTATACTAAATTTCATAATGTGCAAATAAACTGCAAATAATTGGAATTATAACTTGTCAAAAATGGTGCGATGTACCCAAAACAGAACTTGACCTAGATATTCATGTGATATATCTGCATACTAAAACTATGTGCAACGGTTGTAAAGAAATTGAACGGAAACTGCAAATAATTGAAATTTTTCTGCAAGGGGCATAATCAAAAATGGCGCGGTACCCAAAACAGAACTTTAGATATTCATGTGATATATCTGAAAATTATGTGCAACGGTTGCGAAGAAAATGAACGGAAACTAAGTGGACCGACAGACCGACGGACAGACAGACAGCAGCAAAGCAATATGCCCTCCCTTCTTCGAAGGGGGGCATAACTATACTGTAAATACAAAATCTTAGGTCAAACACATCACAACTTTCATACCAATAAAATTAATTATGACAAAGTAATAATTAAACAAATATTATACATGTACTTTAACAACATGTACCTTCATCAAACTATGCAATCCTCTACCTGCCTATATCGAGAAATTGAAGTGAAAATTATTGCATTGCGTAAATATTGTAATGATCCCCCCCTTTCAGTAAATTTAACATTTACAATATGATACTAGTAGTAATTTAAAACTTCATTTTCTTCATCATTTGCTATCTTTTGAAAAAAAATCTTGGTACATGTATATATGCTGATTTTTAAAGAGTGTCTTTAAATGGTACTATGATTTTTAGATTGAGAATATCTTGAGAAGGCCAGGTGTTGTGGAAAGCATGTATGTCCTTAACTTTTTCTCCATGCTTTTACAGTGAACATAAAAAAATATTCAGCTTGTGATAGTCCAAGTTCAAATAACATTGTTTCGTTTTTCATTGTAGTAAATAAACTAGATTATTTTATCAAGAGAAAAATGAGGACTTTGCAAATCTTTCGCAGTGTTGTAGCAAAAGGTTCATGTTTATACTTACTCCAGCATGCTAGAGGTTCACGGCGAGATACTTTTGACTTGGCGCCGCATAACCGAGGTATATAAGGAGCGTAGGGACGTTAACCGAGGCTCTTACTTGTAGGAGTAGTTAATACTACTAAATTCGCAAAAGTGAACGGCTTTATCGCGAAAGTTTTGCGTTTATTAGCGAAACTTACTCTTTCTTATGCGAAAGTAAAACGTTTATTCGCAAAATGTTAGGCTGAGCTCTCTGGGTTTTCGTAAGAAAAAAGTCATTTCAGTTTTAAAAAATCTTGTATATTCGAAATAATTTGGTACCAACAGATCCTATCCCAACCTTCGGAGTTTGCACATTTCAAGTCAAACACTGATTTTTTCTTTTAAATTAGTTTATTTACAGAAAATGTTAAATATTTACAGGGGTACATAATTATATTTATACTATTTTTAATAAGCTTATATACTCTACTGAAAAGAGAATTTAGGCCTTGCCCCAGTTAGGGTAAAATCCTACTCCGTAATAACTGCAGTAGACTAATTTTGGGAGAAAAGCTTGAATCAGTGGATGAACGATTTTGTCATATGATATTCTAAGAGCCAATGGCCTCTGCAGGGATAAAGTCTATATATATGTAATGTGAAGTTGTTTAGTAGAAAATCTTTGACTTGGGAAGTTGAATTTTGACAATATTGTAGGTAAAATATTGTAATTCGGAATTTTCAATGCTGTGAACTCGATTTGCAATCGTGACGTCATATTTGACCTGCGTAACGTCATTTGCAAAATATGAGTAGAGTTTAGAGAGGCAGGTAAAGTGGGATAAAGAGACTAGTATGAATACAATTTGAGGTCTGTATGATGTTAAAAATATGTGTAGCTTTTGTATACGGCCCCATATTAGTTATGTTACAACATAATTATCCTATGTCGGATAAAGACTTTAAAAAGTTTTATGTCATTTAGATCTACGCACCCCACGTGTAGGCCTATAAGATTAAAGATAACAAATGTTTAACATTCTCTGCAAAAAATGAGGTTCTGATTAAATCCACGTAAAAACATTTGATCATTGACTTAAAAATTGGTTCTGAAGTCAGCCAGTTTTCACTTTATTAACGGGTCACTGATTCGATAAAATGGCCGTAGGCTGTAGGACGTTTCGCTTGACTGAGATTTCGTACAACTGCCAGATATATTTAGAGTAACGGAAGGTGCATGCAAGGTGGCATAAAGTTTGAAGATTTATGCACGCTCGACACATTATCGTGAAATGATGGAGGGAAACAGGAGCGGAAACCCGGGAAAAGAACATGGAAAAGTTAGCAGTAAGTGACTTATTTTTCTTAACGGGAAAACATTAATAATAATGCCGCAAACTTTATCATTCACTTGGCACCCCTGACAGTTTGTCTTGGACCAGAAAGCTCCTGCGTCAACAAAATGTAAATTTATAAAGAACTTTTAAATATAGCTTATACCCAGTAACCTTTAGTGTGTCTTTCTATGAATGATATTGTAGTAAAAACATTTATGTGTCAGGGAGAGAGAGAAAAGGGGGGGGGGGGTTCGAGGACTGAATCAAGGAATCCAAATTGATAAATTCATTTTAGAATGTGCCTGTGGCTACACATGTGTTTGTACGTAATGCTTGTTTTTATTTGAGATAGCATAAAATCAGTTTAACCGTGTAGTGACAGAACTTGTTTCTTTAAAAAAATGTGCAATATGATTGAGCACTGAGACATAAAATCATTTTAATATGCCTCTGGATAGAGGTCTGTAATATTGTGTCAGTTTTCTCTTTGCAAGAGTCAAATGTATGTTTTCATATTTTGTACAAATGGAATTTACTTAGGGTATGTAAACAGATTGAAATGGTATCGTAAAACCAATAAGGACAGTAGAGTGGGTCATTCAGTATGGACATTTATTAACAAATGCTTATTAAACCCAGATTTTCAGACATTCCAGAGAGAGAGAGCTTATCAATAATGTTGGTAGATCTTTGCATAGTTAGAGATTTTCTCTCCACCCAAAACATTTTAATAATACATTTGTCCCCAAAAATTGCTCAAATGAAATAAAACATGAAAGGTAAATTATACATAATATTAGGTGGGTCAATGGTAGAATTAGTCAAAACTCATATATTACAGAAGATCTATGTTAATCATGTTTATATAATATTAACATAACTGCTGATATATTTGACATACTTATAGGGTTTTTATATCTGCACTGTAGATATAGGCTTGTCAGGTAAAGAGGAATGGCAGTGTATGATGACAATAAAAACAATGTCTTGATTGGGGGACTATCTAATGGCATCAATTTTTAAACTTAAAAAAATCCTTTTTTTTTAACACACACACACACGGTGACACTTTTTTAAAGCAATAAATTACAGGTCTAAGTTGCTCATTGTGTAAGATTTGAAATAATATTGATCGACATTCATCAATGCAGACATTGGGCAGAATGAAATGGTAAAGATAATGAAGAGTTATCCATCTATTAACAATACAATTCTGTGAAGGGGAGAAACAGCATGGGCCCCTAGATATTCCAGAGGTAAAATTAAATTATTAAAAATTATTTCTTGATTCACCTCTGCTTTCATTTGAATTCTGTGGAGGTGTGGATTTTTAAGGGGTGTGGTCCTTTCCAATTTTCAAGAATCAATTTAAAACAAATTTTCAGATACATGATGCAGCAGAGATGATTAACTGAACAGTCCCTAAGTTTTATAGCAAAAAATAAAGAACATAATTTATGTTGAATTTTTTCCATCAAAAAAAGGAGGTTCTAAGATTTGGGACTGTAAAGTTTGATAGGATGATATAGTTTGTGAGTAGCCCCAGCAATTCATGTGGAACAACTACTTCAATCTTCAATGTTAAACCATTGCAGCTTTAAGAAAAGAGGTGTTAAAAAAGATATTTTATGATGAAATATGAAATTTTAAGGAATGAATAGCAAATCAAGTTATAATCATGATATAACCTAGCTTTTTTATAAACGGCTTCGCGGTATAACACGTTTACAAACTGCCCCAACCCAGCTTCTACAGTATAACTAGGGTTGCTATTAAATTAATTCCCTAGATAAAACATTTTACAATTATTTTTGGTCAAAAAACTAAGATGTTATTTTCTTTGTGGGGGGGGGGGGGGGGGGGGGGGGGGTTAACCTTAAAAAAATGTGTATGGCACTTTGGTAATGCAACTTATACCAGAAATTTTATTGGAAGTACTGTACATTGTTTTCCTAGAAACATTGAATGTAAACAGTTGCTAAATATATAACAACTAAGTTTACAATTTACTTAATATTCAAATGTAAACTAAGATAATTGTCACCTAGATAGATATTGAAAGGTATGAGGAAAAGGGTCAGAGATGAAATATCATGAGGAGTGATTAAAATGGCTAACACAATAACAGATAAAAAAGGCCAAGACTTGTCAAACCAACATGGTATGTAATATCTCTCCATGTTTCATGTTGTAGATTCAAAATTTGGAGTTTTAGGAGGTAGGCAAATTTATCAGAGGAGCTAGGTTAATTTTAGTTTGTATAATATTTGTGTCCTGCATAAGCATGATAAGAGACTGCATTTTGATTGCATGAATTAAGTATACATAATTAATGATAATGCATGAACCCTCTTATTTGGTAGCAGCCTCAACAAAGACAAAATCTTGGTTGTTTCAAATGTACATACCAACTATGAATATAAAGAAATATCTGGGTTGGTTCTTTAAAATGATAATATGATCTATCTCAGATGACATTTGTAGCCTTGTATAGATGAATCATCATTGTTGAAAAAAGAGATAAAATTGAATTATACCTAGTTTACTAGTACACATATTTATTACCATTATTTGAATGAATAAAACATCTGATACTATACCAGTACTTAGTATATAACTTTCATTTATGATAAATAAAGTTAATGTGTAATTTTCATTCTAAATTTGACCATCAAATGCAATGAACTTATTTATCTGATATAACTATATGTATTATAGAGATGTTCATGTAGCTCAGTTTATTGATTCATTTAATAGAAACTGACTTGAAGTATGCTTGAAATAGTAAGAAACTTTAATGTGCAGTGTTCATTACCTCTTTTGATATTTTTAAATTGCATGTACGTGATATATATAACATGATGTCTGTTTTAAATAGCTTCTCCTAAAAGTAAAATGTGAAAGATGAAATGTCTGGAATGTCTCACAAGATTCTTTATATTATTCTTAGGAAGTATTCAGTATTATGCATACCTCTTTAAATTTAAAAAAGAGTGAAATTTGAGGTATACATGCAGTCTTGCATATCATACCTGTCCAGCTGTTAACTTTTTGTGCAGTATGCAACTCAATCCCACAAGCTGGTGCAATTTTTAAAATTGTTGAGATATCGTACTACACTTTAATACAGACATTTTTTCAGATATCAAGTATCTCTCACATGAAGCAGTGGTCTGACAGTCAGATCTGGGCATTTGCTGTAGAGTTGCTGAGTAAGGAATTGAATCCTATAGCAGGACTTGGAGATCAGTCCCTCGGATAAGTCCGTATAAACGGAGGTCCCATACGTGTCGCAGTAGGTGCTGGCCAATAAAACATGCCTCACTGCTTAATGGCTCTGAGTGCCTAAGATAGGGTCTTGCAGCCCTCCTTTAGCAACTGGTGGTGTCTAAGTATAAGTGAAAAATTCTCAAAAGGGACAGTAAATAAACAAACATATAGAAAGTCTAAGTATACAAAAAGTGAAATTCAGCAATTTATAACTCTGTGTGGCAAAATAAGGCTCAATGGTGTGTTACCGTTTTGCACACATTTGATAATTAGGTAAGAACAATTGGTGTGAAGTGTGTTTTGATAGCAATTATAGTCCGATTTCTGGTTTGGATTTACCTGGATTTACCTGTGAATACCTGATTTAGCTTATGTATGCTTAAGAGGTTTTATACAATTTTATTTTTTCTATTTACGGGAAAATATTTGATTTTATGGAATAAAACATTAATATTTAATATCATTTATTAATTAAGTTCAATTTCTTTAAAAAATAATAAATGATATTAATTCTAAGTGATTTAATATATAACAAATAATAAAGAAAATAGAGAATAAAAATTAATGTCAAAATATTGCTCAAGCCAAGAAGATACTACATAAACGTTGTATTTATTCTCTTATTTGTTCACTATAAGTTCACCTTTCACATACTTACTAAGTATGGTAAATAGTGTTTTTCACACATTCTTTAATTACCTGTAATTCAAATGTGTAATCTGTTTAAGACCTTCCAAAATGTGTTGATCAGTATCCAGTACTTTAAATTGACTAAAATTGTCAATGATAACAAATTTGATTAAGATAACTCCCACAGGCTACCTCCTATTTCTGTAAACATGGTAAAAGTGCTGCCTGATTCTAATCTGTTTAAGCCCTGGGGTACGAAATTGAATAATAGGAGGTCTATGTGTAATTATAGTCAGACTCTTATTGCTGTCACTGCATATTTAGATTTTTAGAATTTTTAGATTTACTTATATAAACATACACTGAAACATTTGACTATTTGTGCTCTATCAGGTGCATGTTAGAGGGGCATAAGATGTTTACTACTTTAAGTGCATGGCCATAAATACCTACCTAACATGCTACATGTACAAAGGTCATAAAGGTAGACAGAGACGTGTTGTTTTAACTTTAACACAAAATGTTTATATCTTCCTCAAAGGCACGCCTTCAAAGGAGTTATTCAAGCTAGTATAATTATTACTTGATTCTGCTCAGAGGACTTTAAAATTACCTGAAGATTTGTAATTTAATATTAAATTCGTTGAATTGAATACGTTGAAATCATAGAATAATTAATAGTTGAAGTATTCAGCATGCAGGACTCTAAGTTGGACCATCACATTAGACATGAGGAAAAGGTGTCGTAAGGAAATAGTGTACGTCAGGACGAAATACACAATAGTTTCAATTTATCAATCTGATAAGGAATCATTAACAACTTCGGGCTATCTTTGAAGACTTGTTTATGGTTGTTGTGAATTTAGATAATGTGAACAATCTAAAATGGGAAATACATGTAGAAGTCATAGATCACGCTACTCCCCAGAAACTGGTCCCCCCCAATCTGGACCCCCCAAGGAGGGGAGTAAGTGGAAGGGGGTACAGAGACCTAATTCAGGTAACCTATTATTAAATCTGTGTGTACTATGTACTAGAAATTGTATAGAAAAATGTGTATATATTGATGTGTAGCTGTATGGGTAACCAGGTCTTTTGATTGCTTGATTGTAAGTTGTTTATTATCCCTCTCAAGGATTTTTCACTCAAATGGAGACACCACAACTTGCTGATGGAGAGCTGTGAATTTTGTATTCGGCACTTACGGCCATTGAGCAGGGAGGGATCTTTGAACACAATTTATACGTTCTTATCTGAAGGACCGTTCTACACATCTCACAGTGGGATTCGAACCCGCAACATAAGGATCGACTCCTTACTTCATAACTCCAAAGCAGATGCTCTAACCACTTGACTTCGCCAGACGGGTGATACCATGAAGTGAAAGAGCTGACTAAAACAGAAAATTACTCTTTGCTTATCTTACATCAAACTGCAAAGTATCTTAATTTTGGGAAATGAATAGCATGTACATGAAATTTATCATAATATCATTATAACTTGCACTCCCGTGTGAAGATTATTTGTTGTCAGTATTTTTCACAGATCTGGGCTATAACTACATGCAGTCTTTCAGAAGCCATGCAATTGATAAAATAATTCCTTATTCAGGGGCTTTCTAAAAATACTTTTTTAAAAGTTCAGGGTGTGTTTCCAATCTTTATTGGTAATTTATATCCAAATTCATGTTTTGGGTATTCTTATGTACTTGTACCTGATATGCATAATTGCATGAAGAGATAAAAATGGCTCAATGCAAATTATATATCTGCATAAAACATTTAACTACTGTAGAATGCAGATTATTGGTGTTCAATTCCATGGGGAAAATCATGAAGTATTTATCAATCCTTGCACTTTTATGACCCCTTTGTTTCAAAGTGTCAGATACATTTACTGGCTATTTGATAAGTATATTGATCATTTATACTCAAACTCCATCATATATTTACAGAAACTGAAAAAAGCCAACAATTTTAAAGCTCTTGCATGTATATAATTTACCTATGGTTCCTTTTATATGCATCCATTTTAATTGCTGTTCATAGAACTGAATTTCAATTTCCGAAAGAGTTTGATGTAATAATTCTGTAATAAGCATATTCTTCATTGTTCTAACGTCTCTTACATACCACCCATTAAATTCCAGGAAAGGAAACTTGCATCGGATGCCATTGATCTGTGTTGTAGAAAGTTTGACTATTGGTTTTTACCCCGTTAATCTAGTTACTGGTGGGAATGCTGGGGTAATTTGTCGGGGAGATTGCTGGGTAATTTGTCAGGAGACATGGGCCTAGGCTAGGGGTGTCAATTCTGCAATTGTTTTCATGTAGCTGTAAAACATGGCTAATTGTCTTGGGTGATTACTTAGGAAACTAAGTCTGAAGAAAGTTGTCATTTACTAGTGTTAGCTGGAATTAAGACTGGTAGTTTTAGATATGAAACACCCAGATTCTTTTTCCCTAGAGGCTGGTAAGTTTAGAAATGCTTTGATGTTTCCAAGAAAAAAAATTACCCAAGTGATGAAAGCAAGGTGCATTTACTAAATGTATTTTGCAATTAATGAAATTATTATTTGGCTACCTGGTATGTGCTGCATGTTATAGTTATAATAGTTACAGACATGCATTAATTGATACATAAAACATTAACCAGGGGTTAGATATGTCAGATGTTTCTAATTAAGATGTTGTTTTCCAGTTGACAAGCTCCTGTACATGCTAAGCCAAGGAAGTATGCTGTACAAGGTCAAAAGTGGAGGCCTGCTTTACCCCCGGACATTTTACCTGGACACAGAAAACATGGTGTTACGTTACTCGGGGTCAGAAAAAAGATTCCGCAAAAAGAGAATCTCATGTAAGCATACACTAAAAACAAATAGAGACGACACTGATATGAAATCAAATTTTCAATAATTTACCATCGCTACCGAAAGTATATATATATATATATATATATATATACATGTGTTAAGATGATAAATCTTTGGATGCCTTTAAAAAAATCATTATATTGAAAAAAATCTCATATTAATTGGTTTAACTGCTGTGTGCCATATTGTTAATCCTTTAATTAGTATACATGTATGTGAGGCCATTTTTTATTCCTTTCAAAAAATATTTTTGATATAATATAAAACAGGAATCAAACATGCTCTTTCAACTTAAATTTTTATCTGTTTATAATAGGGCCAATATCAAAGATCCGAGAAGTTCGAGAGGGAGAAAAAGATTACTCAAAAAGGCTGGACCCTTATGATGTAAGAATCTTAGAGCATTTAAAACAGAGTTCATGCTGTTTTTTAGTAAGAAAAAAAAACAAAACATATACACGTAATATATCTTTTCAAGGGGAAATTTATTGACCGTATCCCCCGTCTCCTTCCCAACTATTGAATAATTAAGATTTATTTTTTCAAATTGCTCAAAAATAGCGAGAAATTAGCCAAAATTGATACATTAAAACATCCAGAGGTGCCAAACCTACACCAACCTCAGTATAGCATGGTATAAGTTGTGTTGACTGTTCTCCAAGTACTACTGTTCCTAACTTTGTTTGTTAATAGATGTAATGTAAATTATGTTTTCATGACTTATAAAACCATAACATCTTTACTAGCTAAAATACTAAGACTGGCAATTGCTGTAATTTCTATCCTTCAGGGAGTATAGAGTGCTTATAAGGTGGAAACTAATTGTTTAGTATAGCACTACATATATAACCGGTCAATCTTGTTTCTTATGCAAATGCCCACAATTTGGTTTAATGAATCCAGGTAGCTATATGATTTATTGATACATCAGTAAAATGAATTACATATTATATGGAACATAGTTAATTACAGTCTACCAAAATCTTTTATGGAATGTCAAAATGACATATGCTATTGTTTAATACAAACAAGTTGGTAATAGCAAGCAATTAATACATATATGCTTACGAATTGATTGATTTATTTATCCAAAAATATACTTTCACTCAGACTATCCATTCAAGGTTAGGAAAATGATTAAAAGTATGTCATTATTTAATAAGTAAACATAAAACTACTCCTTAAAAAATATAAACTCTAGTTGTCTAAAATTTTTCTCCGCTGCGAATACTTTAAACTACTTAATTTATTTCCCAGAACTTTATTTTTGTACAACTACAGGAGACATGCAGTTCTCATGAAAATTGTTATAAGTAAGGCCATTTCATTTTTTTTTTCTATGATTTAATTGGGTCCATTTGCACTTTGGTTTTTAACACATTAAAAAGAAATAAATAGATAAAAAATTAAGCAAAATGAACTAATAGCCTATAATAACAAAATCAGGAGTCCTTAAATTGATTCTTTTGGTCTTGTTTAATGTTATCACTTGCAATGGAGTTTGAGGGGATAAAGTTATGCAATCACGTGTGTTAATTTGTGGATGAGTGAGTCAAATTCTGTACAAAATGGGAAATGACGTAATTTGCTTAGGGATCAATATGCTCTTTGTGAGAGGGTGCTACACCTTGTGGTGCCTTTGTTTTTGTACACATTTACATATTGTACATACTACATAGAACCTCATGCATGTACCATTAATTGGTTTGAGGGAATAAATTGAACTTGAACTCGGACAAAACTTTAAAAAATCTGATCTTATAAAATTTATTATTCTAGAATGAAATTTTCTTGAGTCCATTGTCTTGAGTAATCTTGCCAAAAATAAAGTTCTCATGAAAAAAGTGTTTTTCTAACAGAAAACAATAGTTAAATGTTTGAAGCTTATTAAATTTGGATGGCAGATTAAAAAAAAAAATAATGTTCTACTATTGAGCATTGAGAATATTAAATGCCCTTGAAATATATGTCTCAGAAAAAAATTGATGTTGTGACAAACCAACCCAGAACTTGTAGCTATAACACTGTATATTGAATGTGAACATAATGGCTAGATTCACCTTGGTGAAAAGTACCAGTATATAGAAAAGTCTGAGTGAACAATTGAATTATAATAAATGGAGTACCAGTCCGTGCCTTATGGAATTCTGAATATCTGAAATAAGTGGGAGGGTGTGATTCATTTTACCAGGCTGTCAAGATTTCTCATTCAAATATAAACATATTTAAATTTTCATTTATCATCTTTTCCTCCCACCTATGAAAACTTGTTTGGGACAGATTTTGGCATTGTTACAATTATACCGAAGGAAATAGACCTGTAAGAACTGTATTGCAATTGAACATTTTCTGTTAAACAGTTTCATATAAGTTTGGTTTATTCAGATGAAATCCATTGGTGCATCCAGGGATATTGAAGAAAACCAGCAATATGAGCCTTAGTTATAAACCCTCTCTGTAGGACTTGGGAAGTTGGTTGTGGAACTCATTTAATTATCAGTAATTTCCCTGATGAGTTTATCATACAGCTGAAATCCATATCTGTATCATATTCCACTTAATGTAATGGGTGTATGAATAATAATTCTAGTATTTCTGTGTTCTTTTGTTAATTAGATGAGGATAGATGCTTGTAGTGCAATATATTGACAAATCTAGTGATAAATGCTTGAAGTGTTGTCTTTTTATTTCATATTTTTTGTGATTAAATTGTCCTGTCAAAGAGGAAAGTGTCCCAACAATTATCTAATTACTGGTACAGGGTGTTTCAAAATGATGCTTGTAATATGTTTTACAATGCTTTTATTTTTAGACTTCCTTTCATATCAAAGAAAAAGAAATAAACACATGAAATTGTGGAGTTATTTTAACCAACCTTGGTAGTCTACATTCAAGCTATAGAGAAAAAAATTGTTTGCTCCCCCCCCCCCCCCCCTTGAGAGCCGGAAAAGATTTGTTTGAATTTATTTAAACTACTTATCCTTTATTCCTGAAAATAATGAACACAATTTTGCACATGATCTTGTGCATTGTCATACAAAACCCTGCCCCCAAGGTGCAGGCCATATATTTAAGGATTTAATTAGCAAAATAATTGTGCCAGTATCTATTGCAACACAGGACCTTGGTTTATATGGCCTCATCTGAAGGACTAGTGTCCACATTCCACAGTGGGATTTGAACCTGCAGTTAAGGATCAACTCCTTACTCCATGACTCTAGCGCAGACACTCTGACCACTGCTCCATGCAGGTGACTAGAGAAATGTAGCTAGTATAGTACTAGTGTGACCATTAGCAGGAATTTTTCTGGACACAATTGTGGCAGGGCACTGTGAAATGGTGATGGTCAGGAGTTTGTTGTGGTGGCAGTCAAGAAGTTAGGTCATTATTATTTATTTGAAGTTAATAGCATACAAATTTTATAGATTAATTAATTTGATACATGTCTATAAGAATATTAGAAAAGGTTTTTGAAACACCCTATACATTTTCATTACATCATATTTATACCAATCAGACATAAATGCTCCATTAACATACTGCTGATAATTTTCTTCAGATACACTTGCTCTTTTTATTACCTTCATATTACGTGTTTAATTCAGAGCAATCAAATGTACATTAGATAACGGGAAGTGACTCATTGGTGTACATGATATTACTTCTATAACACATCAGATTGAATCAATTAGTATCAAGCAATATTAAATGCATGAGCATTATCTTTTTTGTTCGAATATATTAAGATATTCCACATCCCATAACTGCAACTTAAAGAAGATGCAGGTTTGTAAGGTATAGATAACTTCTGTCAGTCAGATTGAATATAATAAAGAAAATTAAAAATTTCTGTTTATTTTGGCGAAAAATGTCCAAAGAAGGACTGGGAGTGGCCTGGTTAATTGTGAAGGGTGGGTAAATGTTTTGAATTATTTATGTAAATGTATACAGTATTGGTCAAGACTTTCATGTATATCACAGCAGAAGAGTAAACAAGGATTTTTCATGAGTTCTGTGTGATATAGGAATTTTAAATGTGTGCAAATTCATTACAAACGGTTTTGTTTGAACAGTCAAATGGTAATCGCCTTACACTCTGTAAAGGTGTAGGCCGAAATATTTGTCAGGGAGAAGTAACTCCTGACTGCACTAGATCATTTAATTACATACAACAACAGTAAGCTATTGACTTTTAATGATTTGTAGACATTGACACGTACCACTACAAACTTTAAAAAACTAATGCAAGATTTCAAGTAAAGAAGGATCAAAAATATTTTCCCTACTAGGAATACCAAGATTTTAAATTGATTAATATGCTTGCTTATTGTAAATTAAAATTGTATATAGGTAATTTCTTATAAGCAATACTAGCTGGTCTAATAATTGAAGTGTTAACTATTTAGCTAGTTATAATGATTTATTGTAAGAGACTTTGACCATTATTACATGCATGCATTTCTATACCTAATGTGTATCACTCAATTTTACTGTTGATTTTACGCAATCACGTGACGTGATCCGACTTTCCTGATCACCAAACTGTGGTTTTCTGAATCCATATCACCACTCTCTGAAACTGATGACGTAGTATGCAGAAACATGACATTATTTTTCTTGCGTGTTAAAAAATCCCTTGTTATTATGCTTTGTTTTTTGAATAAATATTATTTTGCTATATTTAGATAGTTTTAAGGGGGTATATAATAAATTTATCATTATAACAGTAAATTGATCCGAAGGGTCGTATCACGTCTCGTTGACAGGCGCGGATCATCAGATCAAACTTGACGCTTCATGTCTCATTTGATCTGATGATCCACGCCTGTCAACTCGACGTGATACGACTCTTCGGATCAAGTTACTGGTATAATAATATATATGAATTTGGTTGAGTGTTACATACAGTTAACCTGATGTCTAGGTTTTCTTTCCAGAGAGGGCAGTGTTTTGCGGTGGTGGTTGGTACGAATCATGAAGTCTTGCACTTAATGTCCGAGTCTCACCAGCTGAGAGATGACTGGGTCAAAGGTCTGCGATTTGCTCTCCACATGGAACAATACATGGACCAAAAACAACAGACTGACCGATATCCTTACTATCGAGCTATGATAACATCATTTAGTAAAATTTTTGTTATCTTATGGTGAAATTTTAAGTTTATGACTTTTAAGTGTATTTTTGCACAAAGAGTATTCATAAATTTTGATTTTTGTGAAAATAACTATAAAAATTTTTTTACTTAAGTTAAATCTTTGATTTGACACACACTTTGGAAAAATGAGAGTGCCATACATATAGCTTTGTACAAATTCTCAATTATAATCCAGTACATGTATTATCTGTACACTTCATTATAATGCCTGCTTGAAATGGGAGGTAGCCAGTATGTAATGGTTGAGGTGTAGGTTTATATGTATAAATCTGTAATAAATGTATTGTTTATGATAAGTATAATCAATTTAGATCTTACAGCACATGTTTTGCTTCCTTATCTGATTTTACTTGGATCAAAGAAGCCTTTCAAATGGCTGACAAGAACAACGATGGAAGTCTGGACTTTGAGGAAATTCTCAAGTTACTGAAGCAGTTGAATGCAGACATGGATAAAAAATATGTCCAGAAACTGTTTGATGTGAGAGGTTTTGAATATTCTTTTCCTGAATATATTGTTTAGAATATTGAAAAGAAAGAAATCCTCTTTGTTTTTAAAAGAGATAACTGCATGTGTCTGTATTGTATTTTGTAGAAAGCAGACACAACTAAAACCTATGGTAAACCTGTGCTGGATGCAGAGGAGTTTGTCAAATTTTATCACATGTTGACAGAGAGGCCAGAAGTAGATGAAATATTTATGAAGTATGATGATGGCAAAGGCTACTGGACCTTTACAGATCTCTGCAAATTCTTTTACCATGAACAAAAGGTACTATTCAATGACATACAGTAAAACTCGTTGAGTACGAATACAAATATTGCGAATTCACAAATATAGCGAAGTTATCTTGGATCCCCAGCTATACAAGGTTAATGAATTCCTTGTATGGATATAACAAATTATGGATATAGGGAAGTAATTTCATAGGTCCTAGTGACTTTATTATAACCGAGTTTTACTGTATATACTTACAAGTGTCATTTATTGAAAAAAGAATAACAACTTTGGATGACACTGTAACGTTTTTCTTGTCCCCAAGATTTTTCTTATTAATATAAAACATGACATTCTAATATACATGTACATATATATACCTAAGGAAAGGTCAAATTTGAAACCCTTCGCCATTGAATATCTTGACAATGTGATTTTTCAAATGAGTGGCATGACCTTGCAAGGGACATAATCTATCACAATCGATCATTGTATGTAATTGGCATATATATGAAGCAAAGCAACATATTTATAATGAATCATATTATTTACTTAAGGATAGATAGTACATTTTACAAGTCATCCTTTCATTTTGGAAGACTTTTTTAGCCGGGTTAATTGCTCAAAGACCATTTCCCAGCTATTATCAGCCTGTTTAAGGCAGGATGTCGACCTGATAGACACCAAATTAAAGTTATGTTTAAAAAAAAAAACATGCTCTCAACCAGTTTTGATTTTTCTAGCTGGATTTAACAGAGGACCAATCTAAGGAACTGATAGCAGCTTTTGAACCTCAGAAACAGCTGCAGCTAGAAGACCACCTCAGTTCAATAGGTAATATTTACTGAAGGAGAGGGCTGTTATTTATTTCTTTAGTAAACAGGTTCTTTGGCTCACTTGAGTTGAAAGCCTAAGTGGGCTTTTTTTAATCATACATTGTCCATTTTTTTCCCGTCAGTTTGTAAACCTTCTACATTTTAACTTCTTTTCAAGAACCACTCCGCTGATTTTAACCAAAGTTGATGTAAAGCTTTACTGGGTGAAGGGGAGTTTAAATCATTAAAAATGAAAAGTTAAGCTACATTACAAGGGGAGAGAATCAAGAAAAGACAAAAATAGGGTCATTAAAAATATTCTTTTCAAGAACCACAGGGCCAAAAAAGCTGAAACTTAAATGGAAGGTTATCAAGATAGTGAAGATTATTTATTTTTCAAATCATATGGCCCCTAAGGGAAGGGTGTAGCCACAATAGGAAAACAAAATGTTTACATTGAAATATAGAAAAGGCCCTTATAAATCTTCCAAAGAACTACTGGGTAAAAAAAGTTGAAATGAATATGGAAGCTTCTAGAGTTTATGCATGTTCTTAGCTGCAGAATTATAGCTCTCCAACAAAATATATTGACAGACGAAAGAGCTGCAGTGCCACCAGTTGAAAAAACTGTATATTTATTACGCACAAAAAAGTGCGCTCGGGTCTGGATTAATTCTTCCAAATTCTTACCTCAATTGCAAAAAAGCTAGATTTCAAAAAAAGCCCTTTCTCCTTTATCAATTACTCTCGTAGCTAACATCTGTACGAAGCGCGTTGGACCTAATTATCTTGCAAACCAAAATGGCAGTATAAATAGACAATATTTTCGATGATCTTAATTTCAGGACCAGTAAGGCTATTAAAACTATTATAAGGAATATTTTGTTGTGGAAACAGTGAAAGAATGTGTTAGGAACACACAGTTAGTAATATTTGAGATGGCAGTGTTAAAAACATGGAGCAATAAATCGTGAAACAGTGCACTTTTTTGTGCACAATAAATATACAGTTTTTTCAATGGATCGCACTGTAGCATTCCGATCTGTGAATATATTTTTTCGGAGAGCTACAATTCTACAGCTAGCATACTCTAAATTGTTCAAATCATGGCCCCTATGGGTAGGGTGTGTTATGAATAGGGAATGATAGGTTTTACATTGAAATATGTGCATATTGAAAAAAATCTTTTATAATCTTCTTACGAATCGCCAATCCAGAGAAGCTGAAACTTATATGGGAAATTCCTGAGTTAATGTATTTTCTAAATTGTTCAAATCATGAACTGTGGGATCACTGTAAGTATTACAATGGGGAAAAGCTCTTGAAAGACAGCAGAATCAAAGTGATTCATGTGAGCATTGTGGCCCAAGGGCCTCTTTTTTGTAGTTCTATAAATAAAATATGCATTTTAGTTACATTTCAAAGTGATGGTAACAGAAGGCTTAATTTTCTTATTCATTGAACCATAATGGACCAAATAATTTTAGAAAAATAAATTTTGATTATACCACTTAAAAGAAAACTTGGTTTCTATTTGCATTCCAATTTTTTCACATGTTGAAAGGAAATTTTAATCTATGTAATTATCTTTTTTGAAAACATTCAATTGATCTTCTCCTCACATATGGTTGTACATGTATGAGAATCTTGATCATTATAAGTTCTGTTGCCCTCAAAATATCATTCAGCATTGTAATTTCTGTTAAATCTTTGTACTAGATTACCAGTACAAAGTAAATAGTCAGATTAACACAACTTCATTTCTTCAATAACTCAGTGAACTGCTGTGTTGTATTATTGTAATGTAGTGGGGCTTTTGTGATTTTGTTTTTAACTAGAAAACAGGGTTCACGGTGGTCGCTCCTTGCCATTTCAAGGTCACTTGACCTTTAATTTAAGTGATTTTTTTATAAAAAAAAAACAGTCTTTAAAATTTTAAATTTCATAATCCTAAAAAATGTTAAAATATAGTTGCAGTTGTTTAACCCTGTACACCGGCGATTTTTGATAGCAGAAATGTATCAAATTAGAGAGAATTAAGACATGGAGACACAACCCATCATCAACTACTACATCAGCTTGATGGCCTCTTTCAATGGATGTAATGTAATTAAAACATAACACGTAGTTCATTGTTATTTCAATTTTTATATATTTGCAACAAAAAGTCTCACAGAATTTTATACTAGATTAATTTTTGATTTTTTTTTATTAGACTGTAGCATTTCCATTATTTCATAAAATATGCAATAAACAATTTAAAGCTGCAGATGGATAGTAACACACATTTAAACGTAATCATGAGTACAATATTTTAAACATAATAAGAAATGGAAATTTCATTGAAACATTTAATGTTAAGCACCCTAACCAATTTATGATTATTGAACAATATTTGATGGGTGTATTTGTGTCAACCATAGAAATAATCTTCCTCTTGCAAAAAGCTGTGTTTTTAAAAAATGTTAATATGTTATTGACACAACCCATCATCAACTACTACATCAGCTCCTCCCATAACACGTAGGTTATCATGAAAGAACAGTACTAGATACTGACAAGACGAGAGTACATTTAAACGTAATCAGAGTATTTTCTAACATTTAACATTTAATGAAGAATTATTTTTTTTTATCAACCATAGAAATAATCTTCCTCTTGTAAAAAGCTTTAAAAAAATGTTGTTATTAAACTCATCATGAGTTATGATTGGCGTCATAAAAGTGTGCTTTTGACGTACGTTATGATAAACTGAAGTTCTTAAGAAAGGGACATAAAAAAAATTATAAAGTCACCTGTATTTCTTTATCTATCAGTTGTTATAGTGACTATACTGTCTGTGTGTCTGTTATAGATACCTGATAGAAGACCAGTTGAGGGGACCAAGTCGAGTGGATGCCTATATAACAGCTCTGACTCGAGGCTGTCGTTGTGTGGAATGTAGGTCATCATGTCCTTATATAGAGATAATAATAGTATACTGTAAACGTATAACATTTAGCTGTGTATTCTTTTTAGCGGCTTTGGTAGAATGCAGCAACTGCAAAATCAAGTACAACGCTAAATGTTTTGCACATATACACATAAATAAGAATATGAAGAAATGCGCTAAATCAAATCTACGCTAACATATTCAAAAGTCAATTTCCGCCAAATATCATACACGCTAAATATAATACATTTACAGTATGTGAAGCAATTGAAAAACCAGGTTGTGAACAGACTTTAATGAGATGAGCTCTATACACTGTACATGTTTTATAGTAATGGTTGGTAACAAATTTCAATCCACTACGAAATATTTCTGAAAAATTTCAAAGTAGTGTTTAGTATTTCCAGTCTGACTCTTTCTGGTAAATAATATCAATATCATACCCGATGATATTGCGGTTTTTTGTATACATCAGACCTGTTTTTTTTTCTGACAGTGGATTGCTGGGATGGGCCGGATGATGAACCCGTTATTTACCATGGTTACACACTTACCTCCAAGATATTCTTCCGTGATGTCATTTCTGCCATTAAGGACTACGCTTTTCAGTCTTCACCGTAAGTTTTTTTATTTTTTTGTCAACATTTTCAGTCAAAATTTTTTGCTTTTGTTTAGAGATGATTTTTTAAATTTTCCCATGTAGCCATATTCTGCTTTGCTACAGCCACCGGTGGATGATCATATTAGTGTATAATGGAATGGCTGTGTTCATTTCATTCTCCTTTAAAGTTTAGATACATACAAATGTGACTGTTTATTTATTTAAATCTGGTACTTATACACATGTACGAGGGCCGTTCAAAAATTACGCGGACATTCCTAGTATTTACTCTTACAGATGTCATATATTAATGAAACTTCACAGAAATATGTATCTCAAAGATTCCAATAAATTTTGAGCAAAATTTCTGTATTTAAAAAAAATTCTACTAGAATTATCGGTATGTTGATATCGCTGATGGAGAGGTACGGAGCAAGACAAAAAATTTGAAGCAAAAGCATGCGGAATCCAAAATTTAACTCATTTATTTTCTATAATTTGCGATATTTTCCGACAATTTTCTCAAATATATCTTTAAATTGTTCTATTATTATGTATTTAGTTTTCTAATGTGATATTTGAAGTACTAACAGAAATATAGTGATTTTTCTCTGATGCATTTCCTGTGAAAACGACTGTGAAAATGACATCTTCTGAATTGACGGCGCACCACACTTTTGTTAAAATATGTGTAATGCTCGAGATATCGCCAACATAGATAAAAAATATGCATGATAAAACATGAAATAAACTAGGGTATTCGTGACATTCGTCCACAAATAGCAAATTGAAATTTTAGACCGTTAGACCTCTGTAAAAAGGCTATACGGGAGGACGTGAAGAAGATTATCGACGAAAACTTTATCCGACTGAAAAGAACGTGATTGAGAGTCACCAATATCACACTATATCTCATAAATACATGCAGTTTTTGGTTTTAAAACAAAAAAAAAATATTCTTTACTTGTTTGATAGATTTCAAGCTTGACGAGAAATGGTGTTTGGATGTTGAGTAGATAAGGTAACTCAAACTGTACAGGTACTCTTGGGAAAATGTTGAGAAATGAAAGCTCAATAACACATTTTTTTTTATAATGCCTGTGACATCGAAGATTTTGCTGCTCCGTGACTTAATGATATGTCCTGAAAAATCACTCAGAATTGATACCAATTTACAAAATTTTGATATGAAATTTGAAGAGCATATAAGTAAAGATTCTTTTATATTATGTTTGACATTTTGCCCGATTAAGTCGTGAAATATTTTTTCTGTGCAACAAGTCCGCGTAATTTTTGAACCACCCTCGTATTATATAATTGTTTCTAATGCGATGTATCCCATCTTTGTCAAAAGTTTTTTTTAAATATTTTAAAGCCAAGGTGAAAACTATATGTATGATTTTCAAAGATGCAAACTAAATGCTTATTAAATATACTTTACACACATGCAAATTTATTGAAATAAAAGTTAAAACAAACTGCACAAAATTCTTAGACACAGAGAGCTGAAATGCATAGATCACATTTCTAGACACACCTTCACTTTATGAAAAATTTTACGCAGCATAATGGAAAATGCTTTGTTACAAATTTTATCTGCTTGTATGTAACAATTTTATCAGAGAAATTCCATTCAGCAGGTAATATGATTTATTTTAATCTATAAGTGTAATGTTTTAATCAAATAAAACTAGCATTATTTTCATTTCTCTTTTGAGATTTAAACACATGGATGAGTTTCATCAAAGCTGTAGTTTCTATGAAATTCAATGACAATTTTACTATTGAGTTTACTCTGAGTTTTGTTAGGGGTAGATCACACAGAATTAAAAAAAAAAATCTCATGAAAAATACAATCAGTGTAATTATTTTTTGGTATTTTCTTATAGTCCTTTCATTATTTAGTTGCTACAACTCACATTTTGGAAATACATTTACATGTGTTATTTTCTTTTAACACATAACAACACAAGCTTTAGCCTTCTATCACGTAATACCACTTTCCTGCAGCTCACAGATCTCTTTATCTGAGTGGAGTTATAGGACTTTGAGTGAATTTAAGTTTCGTGGGATGAAGTGTTTTTATTATTACTTTTTAAAATTTTTTGATTATTAAAAACATTTATGGTTGAAAAATCCAAATGTGATCTGTAAAAAAAATTGTTTATGTATAGCTGTGGTAAAGCTAATTTCAAATTTATTTTTCATTGTAGAAGATCCCAGCATTTGATAGATATTGTATATATATATCAATTTTTTTTTAAAAATTTTAAAAAAATGTAATGTTATTACTAGTGAACCCAGATTTTAAATCTGGTTGATATGAATTGTTCTATGAATTGTAGCTACCCAGTCATTCTATCAATAGAGAACCACTGCTCTGTACGACAGCAAGGTGTTATGGCAAAATACCTGAAATCCATCTTAGGAGGTAAAGCTACAAATACATGTACTTTATTTAATCAATTTATCGATCATAGATAACATTGCTTCATATTCTCAATTTTTTCAAAATGTAAAAGTAATGAGATATACATTTGATATAATATACATAACATAACAATTCTGTTGTATTATAAACTTGGTGATAGGTAGAAAATCTAATTAATTTCTTTGTTACAGACCTACTCTATGCTCCTGAAGAACCTCCGAACAGAATTCCCTCCCCTCATGACCTCATGGGGAAAATTATCATCAAAGTAAGTATTTATATTATATCTATCAATTAGATAATATATCAAAGAATGTCACAAATGTGGCCTGTATCTTAATATAGTGTGTAGATGTTGTATGTATGATGCATGTTACTTACAATTAGAATATCAATGCCTAATTATGAGAGCCTGTAACATTTTGAGTAATTGAATAATTGAATCATTTAAACAAGGTATGAAAGAAGTAAGCTTGGTGCATCATATTTCAATATTTGCAAACACTCATTTTATCACTATTACCAAATAAATTTTGCATATTACATCGTATCAATTGAAATGAGGACAAAACAAGAAAAGTCTTAAAGCAAAGAAAGTTTGCTAAATTGAAAATGCATGTTCATTTTTCATAAACAAGACATTGATTCAAAACTGCAAATTGGGCATGTTTTTTTATAACCATTTTATAAATTTATGATTTTTTCATAATTACTAACTATTTGGCATTATGCTAG